GATCATTCCCAGAAACGCGTAGAGGCCCAGACGGATAGAGTCCAGCGAGCCATATAATGCCGCCCTTCGTTCACTCCAGATATCCCTTCGCGGCGGGTTACCGCTGGCGGCGTGGTGACTCATCCCCTACTCCATTAAACTCCGGACAAGCGTAATCTCGATCGACGACATCGTCCGCTTGCTAGGGAGGAGGGCGTGGATCTCCGTCCACAAAATGGAGCGGGGTATATCAGCGAGACTAGACACGAGCAGCGAGAGGAGTTCCTTCTCTTGATCGAACAAATCGACCCCTGGATGGTCGTCATTGCTAATTTTCACAAGTTCTAGCAGGTTTGAAGTATCTTGGGGTATTTGTCCATTTGGTAGTTGACCATCTTCTCATATATCCAGAATCTCCGACAATAAAGGTTCAAGTGGCTGTTGGCCTTCAGAAGGTTCAACTGAAGGGTATGTCGGAGAGTTTTGGGCGGTCTCGTTGCGGGCAGGCGTCCACGGTAGCGCAGTTGATGTCGGCGTTGTTGGGTATACACACTCGACGTTGCGGGAAGCACAGTACTCGCAAGGATGTTGGAAGTCACACTGGCGTAAGTCACATAAACAAGCTCATTTAGTCAATTTTCTTTCCACTTGCTTTGATTCGTAGCCGACGGCAGCTCCCACATTTGGGCAAGGTAAGGCGCACCATGGCGCGTCAGGAACACAACCATGAAGGGTGGTAGTCTACAGGTTTGCTAAAAGTCGAAATTTCATGAAAAAGTAAGTTTAAGGAAGTTTGGTCAATGTGGTTTCGCGTTTGTGGTTGATTTGACTTGAAGTAGATGCTGTCGTTAGGTGTAATACCAATGTGGTTCACGTGTGGGGTCGTTTAAATATACTCCTCACGAAGTCATATTATTTGGTCTGAGTCCGTCGTTTCTCTATCGTTGACCACAATATCAATCCAACACAGTTTCCAGCCTCAGGAGTATTGACTCGGGACCACCAGGTGCAAGTGGGCGCCACGTACGCAATAGGGGTGCTTAAGACAATAGCCACTAGCAAGGGGGTACTTGCTACCAAATAGACGCTTGCCACATTGGATTAGTCCTAGCATAGTCTGTGCATTAAACGGTCGTTCTCGAATCCTCGTATACACCGGTTGTTGTATAATTTATGTGACACAGAAATCAAGGTGCCAATTCCAAAATCGGATATGACAGCAGGGAATGGTGATACAAAGATTGAAATTCGGATATGCAAGCAGGGAATGGGGATACAAAGATTTCACTTCATCCTGTTGAATTGACGTCTCGGTTAAAATTTCAGGTACTGAACCAAGGGATGGTGACACGCTTTGTGCTACTGCAACCACCACTTTGCGAAGCTTTTGGCTGGGGCTCACCATTGTCTATGACGTGGGGTGGGTTGAACTTGACTCTGATTTTTGAGCTATATAAAGGCCACTGAATATGAACCATTATTTCAACAATCATGATGTTGTTACTGCTTATTGCGGTAGCGTCGGCGTTGGTGGTTCCTGCTGAACCCCTCGACAAGAGACACCCTGAGAGGATCGTCACCGCCAATGTCAATATTACCGACCAGTTTTATTACCATATGCAAGTGAAGGTTGGCTCTCAAGGACACTCGTTTAACCCCATCCCCGACACCGGTTCCCACGAGTCGTGGCTCCCCGATCTCGACGGGTGGGCGTCCCAATCGACATCGCTCAAGAACCTTACCCTGCCATTTACGGCAGGCTACGTTTCCTCCTCCTACAATGGGTACTGGGTCACCGACACGGTCACTTTTACTGATGGCGCCACTAACAAGTTCCAATTTGGCGTCGTCGGAAAAGAAGGCGGCAACTTCCAAAACAACTTCAAAGAGGGTATGCTCGGCCTTTCACGGTGGTCGGGAGGTGACCACGACACGTTCCCGTACCACTTGAAGAACACGGGGGTCATCGATCGCGGGGTGGCCTCGTTATACTACTCCACCGATAAGCAGAAGGGGAAGTTTATTTTCGGTGGCTACGACCAAGCGAAGGTGGCGTCAGCCTGGAGTACTAACTCTCACCCGACGACGTTTAAAGTGCCCCTCAGAAACGTCACCACCAACGGCGTAACCCATTACCCTGACTTTGGCGACTTCCCCATCGTTGTGGATACTGGTGCTGGCTATTCGTGGATTCCTAAGGCGATCCTCGACCCGATTGCGCAGTTGTACAATAACCCTAAACAGTCAGGAACCATCTGGACGGTGAGTTGTGACATTCCTGACACCCTGTTCCAGCTTGGGTTTGGTAATTTGGTCTTGGATATCCCGCTTAAGGACTTTGTCAGGCCTCACAAGGTAGGGGACACTGTGTGTTCCTTGGGTGCTGTTGCCTCTGACAGATCCAAAAGTAACATCACTCTCATTGGCGGGGCAATTCTCAACCAGGTGGTGACGCTTTTCGATTACGATAACGGCGTGATCTCAGTGGCTAACTATAAGGAAACCGATGAAGAAAACATCGTTAAACCAGAATAAACTACGATATTATGACTTGAAATGAACAATCTAGCAATAAAATATGGTATACCAATCATTTATGGTGTAATTGAACAAATAGAATCAGGATGAGAGGCCAAAAGACGGAAAACTTACACTTGGTCGGCTATCTCGTAAGAGGATTGAACCCACAAAAACCCGTGGAGGTCCCTTGGCCCAGTTGGTTAAGGCGTGGTGCTAATAACGCCAAGATCAGCGGTTCGATCCCGCTAGGGACCATCTTTTTGCACAACACACATTTGAATTAGCTATAAGTTGATACCATACCATTCAATTCACTAATAGCTGCCATTTTCTTGTACTCGTAGTAGTCTTGGCGGTCGAAGTTTGGTGATGGTCTCATATATCGCTATATACAGTCCGCTACCCTCCCCACACTTTCGCACCTTATATAAATTACAACTGTCTCCCCTCACCAACCCTCACCAATTATCCACCAATATGTCTGCCAAGTCCTGCGCCCAGTGTATCTTCTGCAAGATCATCAAAGGCGAGATCCCGTCGCTGAAGCTCATCGAGACGCCATTGACCTACTCGTTCCTCGACATCATGCCCACCGCCGAGGCCCACTGCCTCATTATTCCCAAGTACCACGGGGCCAAATTGCACAACATCCCCGACGAGTACTTGGCTGATCTTTTGCCCGTGGTCAAGAAATTGACGAAAGTGGTTGGTTTAGACGATAACGATACCCCGGAAGGTACTGGCTACAACGTGTTGCAAAACAACGGCAGAATTGCTCACCAACAAGTGGACCACGTGCACTTCCACTTAATTCCTAAGGTGGATGATGAAACCGGGTTGGGCGTCGGCTGGCCCGCCCAGGATACCGACTTTGACAAGTTGGGCCAGGTGCATAAGAAGCTATTGGCGAGAATTGAGGCGTTGGAATCGGAAAATAAGTTGTAAGCAACTTACAACTTAGCCCTATGCCAATGATACCAATTAAGTTTATGCCAGTTCATGACTGAAAGAAATGGCAATGATTAGAGGGGGAAATGCCATTGAGGGAGAGATATTATTGAGGGAGAAATGCCATTGAGGGAGAAATGTCATGGTGTTTGATTGGAGTGATGAAGGAGTGTCTCGTGGGTAATTTTATATATGTAACGGGAGGGGATAAGGTGTTGGGGGAATTTCAATATACAGATGATGCAATCTAGAATACGGCACCAAAGAACCCTCCCACGTAGCCCATGATGTAGCTCGAGAAAAAGGTGATCGCCTGGGCGCCAAACGGGAAGTAGCTCACCACGTAGTACACCACCGCCACCAACTCGATGGCACTAGATATGATCACTAGCACCGTCAGTTTTAGCACTAACGCTTACCATACCGTCATGAGCACCAAGGCAAAATGGATGGCGGTAAACGGTATTCTCAGCGCCGAAAGCAAGTAACACGCCAAACAGTAAGTGACACGCCAAACAGTAAGTGACACGCCAAACAGTACGATAAATAGTAATGTCGCTTAGAAAACCTTACGCTTTTGAAGCCCGTGACAATTGTCATCGGATTGTCACCCCGTGGCTCCTAATATTTGTAATTGCAAGGCTCTCAACAATCTGAAAACTTCCCTTAACCCGCAGCACCGCCATGCACTCGGATAGGGGTGCCTCCACCCTAATCGCCCGTTTGAGCTGATGTCATCGGCGTGGCGGTTATCGCCCACAATTAGCCACCCGGGACCCGTCGGATGGCGCTGGTAACCGGGCGCAGATGTCTGCAAAACCGCCTACGTATAATGCCCGTATTCCTGTCGCATCAGCATCGCCACTGAGCAATCGTCAGCACGATTAATTGCCTCGGCATTGCGGAATCACCAGACCATCGCAGAGGCGGAAAAAAAGAGAGGGGCGGGCACGGCGCCCGCGAGCAGCGCAGTCAGGCACAGCACTGCACTCGATCCATAACAAACACCCATCTGATCGATCCCGATGATCGCCTGCTTCGGCTATGTAGACAATGAGTGGGCGAACGTGCCATCGCCGACGTCACTTGCCACAGAGGTTACCAGCCTAGGTCCGACACCACACAGCAAGTGGCTGAGTGACGGCGTCACGGCAAAAGGTGAAAGTTTTCGCGAACGTTCCATGCTAGACCCCGTTGACAGGTGCTAACCGCCGGGTCGACCGCCCCGGAGCAACTACAGACTAGGCGACGCAAGCGATGCGAGTGCGGTGAATAAATAATATGTATTGTCGTGTCATCGTAAATATGGAGAGGGGGGGTGGTATGACGAGTGAGGAAAGACTAGCCATGGCCACTATGCACTAGAGGTTGTTGCGCTGCAACTCCTCCACCACTTGGGAGAGGAAGGAGAGCTCGGAGGGGCGGAGGGTGCCGCGGCCGGTGAGGGTGGTCTCGACGTAGCTGTAGGCGTCCAAGTCCAGTTCGGTGATGGGTGATGCCGCCTCCGGCTGCGGGCGGTCAAACTGCATATTGTACTCGTACAACAGGTTTAGTATGTCATCGACAAGGTAGTGGACGCGGTGGCTAATGTAGACCTCGATGAGCTCGTCGAGCTCCAACTGGAACCGCGGCGCCGGCGGCTTCTTCATCACCAACTGGGTCAACATCGCGTTGAACCCGCGCACAGTGGCCACTAACTCCCGCGTGCGCGCCGCAAGCAGGCGCAACGTTGCCAGCACCACCGGGGTGGAAAACTGGAGGTGGTGCAACACCTTCAGGCTGCTGAAGTTGAACTCGTGGTTGAAGAACATCTCCAACAACTGGCTGAGGGAGTCGGCGTGGAAGCGGTAGGTCTTGACCCCCAGGATGCCGAAGGTGGGGCTCGGCAGCAGCGCCGGCGTGGGTATGCTTTGCACTCGAGTCAACAACGACATCGCGCTATCTGGGGAAAATTGTGGATTGTCAGTCGTCACCAGCAAACAGCTGGTCCCGCGCCCTATATATATGGCGCTCGCAGGTTAGGCTGCATGGAACCCTATTCCGAGCCCAGACTCCATCTGGACTTAGAGGCGGTGCGACCCCACCTCTAATATGTAGGTGCCTATTACTACAGCGCGGTTGCGGCGCCAGCAGCCAGAGGGCAAGTTTTTCGCAGAGACCCGATCTCGGCAATACCCTCGAGCCGACCCCGCCTCCCCGCGCGGTGCTTTTACCACTGTCTACGTAGTCACCCCCTGAAAACGGTCATGGCCGGGGCTGACCCCACTAGTCACGGCCTCGAGGGGTATTAAAATGGTTCCCGCGCCCTGGTCCAAATTTCCCCAACTTTAACCCGGGACCCTCCTGCAGCGCGGGTATTGCGCGCAGACAGATGATCGCTAGAGACAATTGCTAGCAAGCGGCTGTGGAATGAAGTCAGGTCGAGCTAACCGAAACCGGGCGGCGGCGCCGGCGACGTCATTGGCCGCACCCGAAGCTTCCACATCTTATTGTTGGTCTGCTATAGGTTCCAACCAAAACCGTTGGTCCTAGCTAAGAAAAGGTCAGTGTGAGAAAGGCGGGGAAATGACTCGTAACCGGAGTGGCACCACGCTCAAAGTCCCCCATAGTGAGGCTTTCGTATCCTTGGGGTTTGGAGAACGTCATGACATCCCCTCAGTTTAAACACCGATTACCCGGCCAACCGGAACTGTACCACCGTCCAAAATCAGCTACTGCTATTGCTACTACTACTACAACCTAACAGTTGCGGCAATACAGAGTAGCGGTTCACAGTTACATCATTAGCCACACGTGTCTCCTTTTACGGCTAAGCCTCACGTCTGCGGGCTTTTGGTGGTGCTTTGCTATCTATGTCGTGATTTTACTGAGAGCGCGAATTTTCCCGCTCCCCCTTAACCAGACTCAATTTTTCAAAATTACCCCACCAGTGAGGGCCACTCCCGGTGATAAGCAGCTACGAAAAAAAACTTTCCTATATTAGTGTATAACCTCTATAATCCGTAGAATCCACCACCACCACACCCCTTCAAATCTAAAGCTCGTCGTTGCCATGCCCTTCTCCCTTAGCGCCGTCAGAGACTCCCGTAGTCGCAGTCAACGGCGTCATAAGCACCACGTACTCGACAAAGAGGTCGCCGTACTCGGTGACGTCATCCTCACCACGAAACTTAGGCATCCCCTTCCCTTTAATCACCTCGACATGTCCCAGGCTCACCACCTCACCGGGGCCACGACTGAGGGTAATATTCAGGTCGTCGAGGAACCGGAGCTGGCGCTGCCAGTCGCCATTGACCGCCTCGGCCACCGTCAACATCTCCGTCCGGTACAAGTTGTCCCGCACCCGCCGGTAGCCCAACGACAATCTGAAGTCCTCGCGAATGAACACTTTTAAGTCGCCAGGATTCACCTCGGGGATCTGGTTGCCTTCGCCGTGCAACACGACGTGGGAGTCTCGCGGCAGCCCCGCCTTGACGAACAAGTCGTAGTTGCGCATCCCCCGCTCGACGCCGTGGCCTTTACAGTGGCCACAGGGGGTTTTGATGGTGTTCCCTTTACCCTGACAGGCATCGCAGGGCATTCTCATCGTCGTGATCATCCCCGGGCCGATCTGCCGTTGGACAACAATCTCGCCTCTACCTTGGCACTTGCTGCACTTGTGGAACTCGCCGTCAGCCAGCCCCAGCCCGTGACACTGCGAGCAGAGGTCTTGCATCTCGATGCCAAACTCGACGAACTTGCCCTTATAGAACTCAGCCAACGATAAGTGAATATCAGTGACGGTATCTTCGCCTTGCCGTTGTGCTGGTTGGCCATGGAAGCCACCGCCAGCAAAGCCGCCACCGAAGAACTGGTTGAACATATCGCCAAAGTTGGCACCGCCACCGTGGCCGCCAGGACCGTCGGGGTCGCCGTAGGTATCGTAGTTGCTGCGCTTGGTCTCGTCCTTCAACACCTCGTACGCCTCGCCCACCTCGATGAACCGCTCGTGGGCCTCTTCCAGCCCTGGGTTTTTATCTGGGTGGTACTTAAGCGAGAGCCGCCGGTACGCCAGCCGGATCTCCAGGTCCAGCGCCTGCCGGTCCAACTCGAGAATCTGGTAGAAGTCCTTGGCCCAGCATATGGCAAAGTGGAGGAGCAACGCCACCCAAAGCTTCATCGTGCACCGCTGTCGATTGTTTGTAGAACAGAGAGAAGCCAATGCGGTTGACGTGTGGGTTTTGTCGCGCACTAGTCCAAGCGCGGCGGCGCCCTTCGATGTGGTGGTGGGGGGCTCGTAACCACCGTTGGCATTATATATAATTCGCGAATACCACCAATATTCTACAAGTAAGAAATCTTCAAAGTAAAGTCGCCGCTACTAATATTAGTAACGGGTAAAAATATGCATTTTTCTTGGGCCTTTAAAAGCAGACCCACTGTCTAAGTAAGCAACTCGATACTGCGTCGCTGTGACCGGTAGTCGCTACTGATATACGGCCTCAGCTCGCCGTGGAGCCCGGCAAAGTCGGTGCGGATTAAATCCAGCAACACGAACCGGTCGACAAACCCGACCATGCGGTCGTCGGAACCATGGTAGGTGCTGTCCGTCACCACCACGTAGTTAAGCGACATCTTTTCAAAGGCATCAATGACAAGTACTAAGGGCGAGAGGTCATTGACGACGAACGTCGGCTGTTCCACCGTAAGTTTAATCACGGAGAAATCGCCAAGCCCCTTCTCAAAGTGGAGGGTAGCCCCAACGGCGGCGCGTGGAAGCTGAGGAACTTGAAGGACGATGGTGGTCAATGGAGAGTCTTCCATCATCCGGAGCTGCTGAGATAACAGCAGCCGGGTGACGTAGCCGAGACTGAGTGGGTTTTCTCGCAGTAGCACTACGGGGAACCCTTCGTGGATGGTCAGGTCAACTCGGCTCTGTAAGCTTTCCACAGTATAGGGAGTGTCCGGTACCAAAAACACACACTCCACGCGTTCGACGGGGACCATCACCGCCAGCACCGCGAGATCAGGAAGCTTTGATTTGATAGTAGTGGTTAATGTAGTGAAATTGACGACGCCACTACCGCGACCATCGTTGACGTGTTCAGGAGGAATATGTGATTCACGGTTGAACACTTCACGGATCCACGTATCGTAAATGTTCTCTTTACACATCCAGTCGTTGGAAAACTTCAGCGCCATCACTGCCACCATAATCGGAAGCACGTAGCTGACTGCCCCTGAAAGTTCAAACATGATCACCACCACACACATCGTGTACTTGGTGATACCCGTCATGAATGCAGCAGCGCCGATCACGGCGTATGATGACGGCAGCACGAGACAGGAGGTCTCGGTGCACACGGCGTCGAGGTTTAACCATCTTTGAAACGCTTGCGCTACGATGCCAAGCCAGCGACCAGTAGAGGCACCAATTACAAGTGACGGCATGAGAACCCCACCGGGCAAATCGGAGCCAAACGTATATGCAGCGAGGAAGAAACCAATGGCGGCAAAGTACATGAGTTTCAACGCCGTGGCTGCGTCATTAGTGCCGCAAATAAAGTTCTTAGAGTCCGCCAGGATCTCAGTGGGGCAATCAGTGAATAATGCGATCAAGTATGCGTTAAGCGAGAGCTTAGTCATATCAAACGGGAACAGCAACAACGCGGTCACCACCACAAGCGCCACCATCTCCAACACGGTGCCGTAGTGGTCGGAGACGTTAGTAAGCTTGACCAACGCCTGTCTGATACCATTGCGGAAGCGAGGGCGGCCAAGTTTAATGTTTAAGTCGATGAAGAATGACCCGTAGACCCCACCAGCGCATCCGAGGAGAACGAAAGGGATGAATTCAAGCATGATCCAGTTGACGTTCCCAAACTCAACACTGAATAAATCCTTTTCATCGAAATTCTTTCCCAGAGCGAACGCAGTAAGCCCCGAGTACGACACCACCGCAACGGTGGCGGTGACAAACAGATTCCACATGTTCTTGGTGGGGATAAAATATGATGGCATGCTTTCGAGAACAAAGAGGACACCGCCAATGGGAGCATTAAACGCTACGGCAATCCCTGTAGCTGTAGCTGCCAGAAGAATCTCTCGTCTTAACGCTTCATGACAATCAGCACCAACACCGATCTCAAGGAGAATATTAAAGATACAGCACAGCACGTGCACTAGCGGACCCTCTTTACCGAGCCAAAGACCCAGCAGCACCACAAGCACAAGCCCCGCCACTTTATAAAGTAAAGTCTGGAGCCCCAAGTACTGGCTGACGTTATAATTGAGGCCCAGCACGATGAGCTTAATCTCGGGGATACCTGACTGACGGATCCAGGGCGCCTTCTGCGAGATATAGGTGGCACACCCCGCCATCACCACCAGCATGATGAGGTAAAGAGGTAAATTGATGAACACCGCCAGGAACCAATTGGAGATGCCAAAGAGGATCTGCGACCACAGCTTCCACAGGTCGGCGGGACACGTCAGGTAGGGGTTGCTGAGCGACCACAGGTCGAGTTTGCGGAGACACAACCCCTTCTTGAAATCGTTGAAGAACGTGGCGAGGAGATTGATGAACGACGCCATGTACCCGACAAGCACCGCCGCGCCAATCACCACCGCCCATTTACGAAAGTTGTAGTCCTCCTGCAGCGGCTGGAGCTGATTTTCCAGCGGCCAGTCGATATAGGTACAATTCTCATAATGTCGTTTCGGTGGTGGGGCTGGTTGCAGGTCCTCGGTGGGGTGGTAGCTGAGGGTGGGGATCCCTTCTAGTGTATACGATGACGTCATCAACACGACGAGGCACAGATGGGGGGGATCAAGCGAAAGACAAACCGCTGGAGTGGATGGGCTCGCAGACGTTTTCACACACTAGAAGCTTAATTTGGGGCTAGACTTGGTACTGCCTGGTTCTCAATTCGGCGCGCGCACAAAACGTCCCCCAGTATATGCAGGCAACAAATGCTAGGCACTAACAGTTGTTTAGTGTACAGCTTTGCTAACATCACTTAAAGGGTGGTGTCTATTTGACTATATAGTGATTGCAATGCAAGGAGACAATTAGTGATTTTATTCAAACTCGCAACAGTTTCAAATATTCTACTTTAAAACATGAGGTCATGGGATGATAAGCTGATAAGCCTCATTTCCCTAACTATAATTTTTTGTGAACTATGAGATTGCTAGTGGAGTAGACTACACTCTTCGAACTCTAAATGTGTTGTAATGCAATCTTATCCTTATCCTAATTAAACCCAAAAGCAACGATTAAATATAAGTTGAGCACGATGATGAACCCCCAAATCAACACCGCCGCGATCGCCATCCATTTCAGATTGGAGTAGTCCTGATAGCCAATGACGCGATACTCATCACCGTCGTCGGCGTGGAGCAGGCGGTCATCGTGAGCACTAAGCTGAGGTGATGTCGGCTTGTTGGGGGCTCCCACAATTGTCAGGTGCAGCGGCTCGGTCCTGATGGCGGTGTCCGAGTCGATGAGCCGTTGGCGTTGGCCCTCTTCGTCGTCACTGTCGTCTTCAAACGTACACAATTGTGTATTTCGAATGGTCTGGAGCTGAATTGCCAGCTCAGTGGCCCGGAACGGCTGGACGATGGAGTCCGATCGGGGACGGAAACCGGGGTCTTCGGCGATAACGTCACCGTCCCGCGATACAATCGGAACTCGCATAATGTGTTTGGAGCAAGTGAAGTAGATGAGGGGAGCGGTGACAAACGGTAACAACAACAGAAGCACCACTTGCGACGCGTTCAAAATACCCAGCAACCCTTCACGACCACTAACGGTCACCACAAACAAACAAGGAGCGATAGCCAACGCCCGCGTGATGAGTCGACGGGTCACGGGCGGCAAGCTCCAGTTAAGGTACCCTTCACTGACCATTTGACCGGCAAGCGTACACACAACCCCGGCACTCTGACCCAGACACAAGAGAGCAAGAGCAAACACAAATCCGGCGGTGGGGGACAAGTGCTCGGTGAGCAAGTTGTAGATGGTAAAGAGATCGGCGTTGGAGTAGTCTTCATTGTCCAGGTCCGACGTGTCGTCATCGTGGTCGTCGTCACGGCTAATAAGAGCAGCCCACGACCCTTCACGAGCCTGGTTACCGGTGTTCTTGTTGTTACCGAGGGTGGCACCAGCGACAATCAAAATGGCAGAGTTGACGAAAAGCGCCACCGTGAACAACGACACCACAAGCTCCCAAATGGTATAGTGCATGGTATCGTTGATGGCGTGGACCGAGGGACGATAGCCATCGTCATCTTCTTCGTCCTCATGTAAAGTGGCCTCATCATCGGTAGTGGCAGTGGTAGGTTCGTTTTGACACGCCGCTGACTTAAAGTAGCCGTGTTTGATGTCATAGTCCTTAAGACGAGCCTGGACAAGACCTGAGCCCAAGTAGAGCGAGTGAGGCATCACCGTCGCCCCCAAAATGGCGAGCGAGAGGTAAAGCCCCAGACTACCCGTCTTACCACCACGGCCTTCCATATCAAGCACCGCCAGGTTGGGGAAGAACCCTTTGATCACCTCCCAGTGAGAGTACAAAATGTCGGGGTCGTGGCTCACTTGGTACAATTCAATGGCGAAGCACAACACCGTGGCAAACACAAGCACGGTGACAAACATCTCGAAGATACGGATGAACAAAAGCGGGCCCTTGGGACGGTAGGCCATAAGCACCACCAACACGTCGATGATGGTGACGATAACCCCGGCAAACAAAGGTAGGTGGAATAAGATGTTAAGGGCAATGGCAGTACCCACCACCTCGGCCAAATCGGTGGCAATAATGGCGATCTCGGTGAGGATATACAACACGAGATTGGTGTGGAACAGGAAGTGGGCCTTGCAGTTTGCCGCCAAATCGAGCCCAGTGACACACCCAAGCTTGGCAGCAAGGATCTGGAGAAACACGGCAAGACAGTTGGACACGAAAATGGCGAATAGAAGCTTATACTGGTAGGCAGCGCCCGCGGCCACGGCCGTCGAGTAGTTGCCGGGGTCCATGTAGGCCACCGACACCATAAGCCCTGGCCCAATGAACTTGGCGTACTTGCGTACGACGTGCACTAGTCGTTCCCATATGGCCATATTGGTTGTAGATGGGGTAAAAGTCACAAGCGCTCGGAGGCAATGATACCTGGAGAGGGCGAGTTGAGGTTCAAATGGAAAGGGCAACCTCGAGGAGAAGAGGCTGAGTCAACAGAAGTTGATCGAGTAAAATGCAACAGCCCTGGATAAGGCGACAGGCAAAGACAAATGGATGTAACCTTGTGCGTTGCGGCCACCGTAGTCTCGGGTAGGTTTTGCACTGGGGGACGCGATCCCGGACTATGTGCACTCCCTCCTACTTCGCCCGAGGCGCACGCGCCGGGGACACGCCGTGAGGTGTCATCACTATTATTCGATGCCCATTGTTTTGTAGTAAGGTGTGGGGGCAAAGCATCTGAGTGACAATCACGAGGCGGCTGGTGGCTAAGCTAAATACTATTTTTGTGGTAGCGATCTTCAGATTGTGAGGTTAACGTTGGAGGTGTCTCACGTCAACGTCATGATCAGGGGTGTTAGATAAGTTGCGAGGACCATCTCAAGAAATTTATGATTCTTATGGGATTGACGATGTAGGCCGAACGTCAGACAGAGAGGTGAACGATTAAATGGAACTAGTTGAAGTGTAACTGGGGTTTACGTAGAATCGCCAACACGTGAAGGTACTGCTGCCAAGCCACAGCCGGACTCAGCAGATAGGATCAGCACTCACCAAAACAAGAGTTCCTTTGAAACTCGAAGATGTGAGGCAATTTACCCAAGTCAGCATTCAACGAGCTCTAATCGTTTGCCTAGGAAAGGTATAAGAAGTACCAGTTTTGTTACACCCATATAACAAATTTGTCGGCGACTTACTCATACCAATTTGAGTATCATTATCTACGCTTCATGGTTGTAGTCGTCATCAATCGTGTAATATTACGTTATACTCTATTAATTAATAAACCGCACCCTGATCCATAACGCCAAAATCCCCAAGATACGGTATGCCACGAAACAGGTGACGATGCCGCCAAAGTAGCCGCCCAAGTTGATGTTCAACTTATAGTAGTCCAAGATCTCTTTACCCGTGTTCAAAGAACAGTGGGGGAGACCACAGTCGAACACCATGTCCTTAGGGAACCCCACTTTGGCACAGATGCCGACGGCATACTTCATCGGATTGATGTAGTTGACGGCTTTAAAGAAACCCGGCATGTACAACGACATCGTCCCCCCCATGAAGATGGCCAAAATCACCGAATTAAGAAGGATGTTGGTCGCCAACCCCATGTGACTGATGATGGCGTTGACAATCATCCCAAACAGTTCTCCGGTATTGATTGAAAGCGCCCCCATACAAAACATCAGGAAAAACATCCCGGCATTACGTGGAAGCCCCACCCCAAACACAATCAAAATCGAGAAGATGAATGCGGGGATCACTTCGGTGGGGAGCTCGTTGAGGAAGTATTGGATGGAGAACTCCGCCACCCCGTAGATGCCGTCGCGGTATTCCTGGAAAAACATCTCTCTTTCGGTGGGGAACACCGCAACGTTGTTGATAATGCCCACATAGTACAAGTTAAGCACTTCTTGAATGAGCCCCATCCGGTTCTCGAGCCCCCCGGGACCGGTACGGAGAGGAGCAAAGAACAATGTGTGCACCACCGTTAAAAAGAACGTCTGCCCCGCCCGCGACCACAAGATGTCCTTGTTACGGAAGATACAGATCCACTGCCGCTTAGTCACCGTCTTCCACGATACCGAGAACGGTACCTTTTTGTGAGCATAGGGAGCAAGATCGAACGTTGCCTCGGGAGTCGCTTTAATTGGCAGCTCAGGGTGAGGCTTTTCGGGCGCTGTCCACGCCGCCACAAGCTCCGACGCGGTCTCGGGAGAACTCTGTAACACATCCAAGAGAAAATCGGCATCCAGCACTTCCTGAGGCTTTTGGTGACCGTAGGTTTCGAAACGGGGTACGACATCGCTGGGAGGACCGTTGTAGACAACTCTACCGCCACGAGCAAGCAAAAGCAACGAGCCAAACGCATCAAACAACTTTTGCGACGGCTGGTGGATGGTCATGATGATGGTAGTGCCGTAGTTCAGGGCGAACCGATGCAAAAGCGCCACAATCAACGCCGAGGTGGTCGAGTCCAACCCAGAAGTAGGTTCATCCAAAAACAAGATTTTCGGTTTCAGCAAGAGCTGGACAGCAATCAGCACCCGGCGTTTTTCACCCCCGGAAATACCTTTAACGTAAGCACTACCAATCATGGTATCGGCGGCGTCAACAAGCCCCATATCCCGAATGATTTGCGCCACAATTGAAGGGATTTCGTCATGTTCTTCCACCGGTAATCTGAGCTTTGCTTGGTAGTAAAGAGTTTCCCGTACCGTCAATCTCAGTTGAAGTGCCAGGTCCTGTTGGGTAACATAAGCCGAGATCTGTTTCAATTGTGCCGGGGTCACTTGGGCTTCGGCGCCCGAAGCGTTGCGCAACACGATATCGCCTCTCAGCTTAAACGTCCAATTCTCATGAGGGAGACGTTTCGACAAGTAGTTAAGCATCGTCGTCTTGCCCCCACCAGAGGGACCCATGATGGCGTTGACGGTGGCCGCTTTAAACTCACAGGCAATGTTATCAAGCAAAGTAACGTTTTTACGACGCGTTTGTAACGTGACGTCGCTAACGTGGATACTCACCGGCAGCCACGATTCACCAAGGGTCAGCAGCTCCAGCTTAGTGGGAGACACGCCATCCTTATTTTTCTCCTTAGGCCGTTCGTCCTCGCCACCAAACTTATTCTTCTTCTGCTTCGCCATGGCAATGTCGTTCTTACGCAAATAGAACGCAGCGATCAGAATCAAGTGGAAGCCAAACCACCACACCACGAGAATACCGATAGGTTCGGCGATCCAGTTTTGCGGGAACCCAAGCACACTCAATTGGTAATTGCCCTCAAACTCAATACACCACTCAGGGTCGTCATAGGGACAGTCGCCCAGCCAGTCAGTGTACTGGTTCGAGGTAAGGGCGCCAAACGCGTACCAGAAGTAGGCACAGTACTTCAACCAGCGCACGTATACGGGCATGGTCTTGGAATTGACGAAGTAGCCACAGGCAGAGTTTTGCAACTGGTAGATGGCCCCGTAGACAAGCGAGGCGATGACGAAATCCGGCAGCACGGCGAAGATCAAGAGACCAGTGGCCATCCCCACCATGTTGATGAGGATACACACGGTAATGTAAATGCCAAAGTAATGACCGCCTCCACGCAAACCATACATGAAGTATGAGATCAGACCGAAAAGTACACCGATAGGAACATCCTCCAAGAAGAGCTTACCTAGCCGTCGTGATATAACGAAACCAGGGATCAGCACGTACCCTTCCAGATACTCTCGTAGGAAGAAAACCCCGTCGGTAGACCATAACCGTTCCACTTCAAAGTAAAGGGGACAGAAACCAACCACTTCAAGCATGACGTAGATCGACGATGTCCGTGTCCGGACCCCGGCCAAATCCAAACCGGGCTTATAGAACATCCACCCGGTGACTGCCCCTAAAAATGCCATCCCCAAATTAAGTGAAAGAAGCAGCAGTTTGTCCCGAACCGTTAACAACGCCGTACGTTTAGTGAGTACCACTAATTCTCTCCAGAACGAAATGGGGTAGTGTTTCTTGAAGAGTTTCAACAGGGTTTCGAGTGTCGGTGGGCTGTCTATCGGTTTGAGTTGCTGGTGTTGCTTCCACGCTCGCGAAAGCTCCTGAATCCGATGCTCACTGGCTTCCTCTCGCTCCTTTGTCAGGGTATCTTTAACACTCAAATTGATGATAAAGTCCATGTGGGTGATGTCTCTCCCCTTCAGCGAGTGTCCTAGCAGCTCAAAGTAAGGCACCAGGTCGGCCAACAGACCGAAGTAGACAAGACGACCCCCTTTAGATAAAAGACAGAGCTTATCAAACATGACACTGATTTCGGGACGAGGCTGGTGGATCGAAAGCACCACGGTAAGACCAATCTCAGGACTGGCAAGCTTCTTCAACGTTTGCACAAGTTTCAACGAAGACAGGGTATCGAGCCCCGTAGTCGGTTCGTCCAAGAACAAGATCCGGGGTCTTGAAAGCAACTGGATGGCTACCAGTACCCGCCGTTGTTCCCCACCCGATAAGAATGTGCGGTGACTGCCAAAGGTGGCGATGACGGTGTCGCGCTTGTGTTCGAGTTCCAACACTTTGAGCAATTCATTAATCAACTCGAGCTTGGCCCCTTCTGAAACACTGGGAGGCATCCGCAAGTCCGACTGGGTCTTAAGCGTCTCAAACACCGTGAGCCCAGGTAAAAATGAGTCTGTTTGTTGCATATAACTGTAGTTGATGACATCGGTATCCGCCTTGTCGTAAAGGATCAGCCCCAGGAACTTGAGCTTTTTGTCGGTGACATTAGTCCGCTGGCACAACACGTTCAACAATGTGGTCTTCCCCAGCCCGGAACCCCCCATGATTGCGAGAAGCTCGCCGGAGTTGAGGTCGAATGAGACATCGTTGATGATGGCCAGACTGTTCGCTTCCACGGTGAGGTTCCGCACCGAAATGCCGATGCGGTTTTCCTCCTCGACTTTAAGGATGTGACTAGCCATGGACAAATCCCGACAGCACGGGGGATGGGGATATGTTTTTATAGATGGTAAGCAAACCTGCTCTTGGGAAAAGCGCAATTAGTTTTTGGTACCGTGATTTTTTGCGCGGGAAAAGTAATACGTTAGATTGCCTAGTGGCAATTGCCGAAACCTCAAATAGTCAAAAAAAAAATAAAAGAGGTACGTCGTAAACATAGAAACTTGCCATAAACGCTGAAGAATACTTTGGTCATACTTACGGGACAGTGATCTTTTCAAACCTCGTCGTCTATATAGTGGTTCTTCTAAGCGCTTATAGTGGTAATTTCTGTCCCACATTATGATTGCATATAAATTTGCGCTTTTGCCGCATATCTAGGTATCCCTGTATCTGATGAGCGAAAGGTCCAGATCCACGGCCTAGTCAGCTTCAGCAATTTTAAGCTTAAAGTGGGGTACAAAAGAACCGCATTGAAAACGATGTGTCGTAAAATAAAATGCGTTACACAGGCATTGCCTACCCCCCCTCGCTAACGATCTATACGAGGGACCCCCCAAGAAATTTTCGCGACGATAAGAGAAAAAAAAAATGTCCGCGGCTCTCAAGCGCTGTATCAGTTGAGCGCTTGGCCATCGATGAGTAATGTCCTGCATCTGGGGTCGGTTAAGCGCAAATTGTGCAAACGGCCAATAATAAATTGGTTTGGGGCGCAAATACCTCCATATATCTACGAAATCGTAGTGGTTACAATAGACCAGCCACGTACAATTTTCCCAAAGTGTCCCCCCCTAGATCGGGTTGTGCGTATTAACGGAGAAATATGTACGAATGACACGCATGTGTATTTATGGTTTCGCCTTGTTGGTGTGATCAGCCAAAGCTTGTAGGAAGTCTTGTTCCACAGTTCCTGCCTCACCGTGTTCGTCCTTCATTTGCTGCATACGATCAAGCTTTTGCTCAAACAACTTTGTAGCCAACGACATTTTCACCCACGGGATCACCAACTTCAACGGGAGCATATCCATCTGTTCCAGCTTGAGCCCTCTGATTTCCTTGACGGCTTCATCCAAATTGTCATAGTGCCACATCACGGGGAAGTCCTCAATCCCCACCTTCAAAGGCATCTCAATATGGTGGTTAGGGTGTAACGTATTGTACTTGTTGATTTTGAGGTTGGCAATAAACATCATGGCTTTAATGAAATCAGCATCGACGACGTCATCAAGATTGGCCAGGTGATAGTGGTCAAGCGGTTTCACGCCAAACACATTCTGTTGAAGCTCTTTTAATGTGGCGTTTTCCTCATCAATGGTATCGGGCTTGCTGTGTAAGTACAGCTGTTTGACAGTGTCAATAACTGATTGGACCCTGTCCCGCGAAAGCTCTTGGCCGCCAATGACGACTTTGCGGTTGGGGATTGGCGACGTCAAATCATCCACGGTGAGCACTGGCGATGCCTCGATGGCGGCGGGATCAAAGTATTTTGTGTACACCAGCGTCTGGTACTGGTCTAGAAGCTGCTGGCGAATCTGCGCCGGTGTGGGCGCCACCTTTGCTCCAGTTGTGGCGTTGCGGTAGGCCTGGCGTAATATCAGCTGAAACCTAGTGGGGTTGTGCATCAGGCGAGATTATCGGCGTGCGCCGCACTCATGTTTCCGACTCGCACCATCGACCCCATCCCACCACAGTACCGATGACGTCATTGATTTGCCTCCCTCCTCGTTTGCTTCTCTATTGTGGTACCGAAAGGATACGCCTCACCCCACCACTGTGGCGCGGGGCACATTGTCCCGAATGGGTATAAAGACCGAGCTGAAAGTTCTATTTCCGCTCCACCACTATTTCATTAGTTTGACTCTAGTTTACAATGGGTGTTAACGTCGCTGTCTTTGGTATCAATGGTCTCTTGGGAGGCCCCGTGCTTGAAGCACTCACCACGACCCCTTTCGGGTCCAAGGTGGCCCTGGTTAAAGCGATCACTCGGTCCCAACCAAAGGAGAAGTGGGACAAGGTCGACTACATTGTCGCCGATATCACCAAGGCTGATGACCAAAAGAAAGTTGTCGATGCCATCAAAGGTGTCGACGTCATCATTGGCCTCAATGCCCCCGACGCCAGTGTCTACTCGGGTCTTGAAGCCATTATTCCTCAAGTGAAGCCTAAGTTGTACGTGCCGTCGCAATTCGGTGCCGAGCTCGCTGGAGCGCAAAAGGTGTTGCCGGGCTTCCTTCAACCTAAGGTTGATCACTCGAACAAGGTTCGTAAGGATGGCATTAAGGTGGTGGACGTGTCGACTGGGTTGTTCATCGTCCCTGGTTCGTTCGCGTACGAATTTGTGCCCCAATTCGGCATTAACGCCGAGGACGCCACAGTCACCCAACGCGGCGATGCCAACACGCCCATCTCCGTGTCGGCGCTTGAAGACGTCGGTAAAGTCGTCGCCTCGATCGCTACCACCGCCGACTACTCCAAGCTCCCTGACTCGCTTCGTGTGCGCAGTGACCAAGTCACTTTTGCCGAAGTACAAGAGACTTGGTCCAACAACCACGGCAAGAAACTTAATGTGGTGAAGCAATTGAGCCTTGACGAAGCCCGCGAGGAAGCTGCCGACATCTGGGGTAAGGGTTTCGACCCCTCCAAGTTTGGTTACTACCTCCAAGCGATCGCGTCGCAAGGCTCCGGTAAGGGTCTCGTGTTCGAATCGGTCGACAACGACCTCGTCAACCCCGGTACTTGGGAATGGACCAAGTACAAGCGCAACACTAACTAAGTATTCCATTGATGATGTCTCGTAACAGAATTGTAGATCATGCGTTCCCAAATGATAATTCCATCGACAAAGTGCATTTTCCGAGAATGTCGTATTTGAACTCAGAAATGAATACCTGTTTCCACTACCAAAATACAAAATTTTCATTTCAATTTCAAAGTGTCTATGCTTACCTCATTTTTCATAGCGTTGCTACAGTCTCGCTTTGACTTCCTTTAGCATAGTGGCCTTTTTTCGTGAGACACGCGTTCGCGTAAATACCAGATACCGTGTCCCTCCTTACAGGTGAGAACCAGGTCCGTAAGTTAGACCAATAGCTTTAACATAGACAACTTTCTTGAACCCTTTTGATCAACGTTGTTCTATCAGATACCACGACGTAGCTCTTTTCTTCGCTTTTGAGAGTCAATTCCTTCAAGCCGATCTCGGGGTCAATCGTTCTTCCTGCACAATATGCGCTTTACGTGTTATTTTTCTTACAATCGACTTTTCACACCCAACCCTTCTTCAACCACATTCGTCATGGCCAAACCCAAGTCGAGCGGTCGCAAGACCAGGGCTTCCAAAGAGGACAACTGGAACGAAGACCAGTGTGTTGCTCCTGAGTTTGGCAAGGGCCCCTACCGGCCGTACATTGTGCTGACGCCTGAGTTCGAGATCCAGGCGAAGCGTACCCTCCACCGGTCGGAGTACCTGCTCATCCTCGTGTTGATGTTGGTCGCCTTCTACGTCAGAATGTACGGATTGACCAAGCCCGACTCGGTGGTGTTTGACGAAGTCCATTTCGGTGGCTTCGCCCGCAAGTACATTTTGGGCGAGTACTTCATGGATGTCCACCCGCCGTTGGCGAAGATGTTGTTCGCTGGTGTCGGCGCCTTGGGCGGGTTCAAGGGTAACTTCAGCTTTGCCAAGATCGGTGACGTCTACCCGAAGGACGTCCCCTACGTGTTGATGCGTCAATTCCCCGCCGTTCTCGGGATTGCCGTGTGTTTGTTTTGCTACCTCACCTTGAGACAATCCGGGGTGCGTCCTCTTATCGCCTTTTTCACCACTTTCTTGCTCATCATTGACAATGCTCAAGTGGCGATCTCACGTTACATCTTGTTGGACTCGCCGTTGATTTTCTTCATCGCCGCCGCCGCCTACGCGTTCAAGCGGTTTGAAATCCAAAAGCCCTTCACTTCCAGATGGGTGAGATCGTTGTTTGCCACTGCCATTGCGTTGGGGCTTGCTGTCCTGTCAAAGTGGGTGGGTCTTTTCACCATTGCCTGGGTGGGCGTGTTGTGCGCCGTGCAAATGTGGGTCATCGTTGGTGACTTGCAAGTCAAACCTGCCACCGTTGTCAAGCACACCTTGTGGAGAGGTATTGTTCTTTTGGGGGTGCCCTTGGCGATGTACTACTTCTTCTTCGCCGCCCACTTCTCGGTGTTGGTGAAGCATGGCGACGGTGCTCTGAACATGGCTCCTACTTTCCGTGCCACTTTGAGAAACAACAAGCTCCCCACGGACATCATGCCCGAAGTCGGTTATGGTTCGGTGATCACTCTCAGACACGTTAAGACCGCCGGCGGCTACCTTCACTCCCACCAACACCCTTACCCTGGTGGTTCCAAGCAACAACAAATCACCTTGTACCCCCACATCGATGAAAACAACAACTGGAGAATTGAACCTTACAACGCCCTGCTGTGGGACAACTCCACGTTTGTGCCTTTGACCTCGGGTACCAAGATCAGACTTAAGCACACCAAGACTGGTCGCAGATTGCACTCGCACGACCACAAACCCCCCGTGCTGGAAAGAGACTGGCAAAAGGAAGTGTCGTGTTACGGTTTCGAAGGTTTCGGTGGTGACGCCAACGACGATTGGATCGTCGAAATTGTTGAACACAAGTCCAAGACTCCCGAAGGTAAGGAACGCGTCAGAGCTACCGAATCGGTCATTCGTCTCAAGCACGCCATGCTGGGCCACTACCTCTTCTCGTCGGCCGTTAAGCTTCCCGAGTGGGGTTTCGGTCAACAAGAAGTCCTGGCCGCCTCGCAAGGGTCTCGTCCTTTGCTCGACTGGATCATTGAAACCAACACTAACGAGTTCTCCAACCTGACCGAAGTCGTCAACTACAAGAAGATGACCTTGTGGGAGAAGTTTGCTCACTCGCACGCCCGTATGTGGAGCATCAACCAAAACTTGAAGGACCACCACCCTTGGCAATCTAATGCTATTGACTGGCCTACTTTGCCTCGTGGTATCAACTACTGGGTCAAGGACAAGCGTCAAGTGTACTTGATTGGTAACGCTCCCATTTGGTACGCCGTTACTGCCACTATTGCTGTGTTCGCCTTGTACGCCGCTATCAACGGATTAAGATGGCAATTTGGTGCCAATGTGGCTGAAGACAAGCACGTGTTCACCTTCCTTTACCAGTCGTTCACTTATGTGCTTGGATGGGCGTTGCACTACTTCCCATTCTTCATTATGGGTCGTCAATTGTTCTTGCACCACTACCTCCCAGCCTACTACTTCGGGCTTTTGGCGTTGGGGCAATTCTTCGAATTCGTCTATGGCTACTTTGGCGAGAACCGCCCCAACTTCCAACGGGCGTTCATTGTGTTCTTGACTGCCTTCTCGATTGTCTCCTCCATTTTCTACTGGCAATACCTGCCGTTCACCTACGGCCTTCCTCAGTTGAAGTCTCAGTGTGAAGCTAAGAAGTTCTTGAACTGGGACTTTGACTGTAACGCTATGGCTCCGTCGTGGGAAGAGTTCGAGAAGTACGAACTGCAGAGACAAAACCCTAAGGCTGAAGAAAGCAAGGTGAAGCCTCCCAACCAAGGCGAATTTGACCTGAACCAAGTGGTCCAGGCGAAGAAGGAAGCCGGCGACAATGCCAAGGTTTCCCCCCAAAAGGCTGAAGCTAAGGACGCCGTCGTCGAAGAAGAACCCCAATTGGTTCCTGAATTTGAAGAACCGGGTACCGACAAAGCTGATGACTCGCCTGCGGCTGAGGTTGAAGCTGAAATCGTCGAGATTGAAGAAGTGGATGATTCGAAGGCCAAGCCCGCCGAATTGCCCTGATTAAATTTCTGTAAATTACATACGAGATCGAACGTTATTGATAATTATTGAGTCTTCTTCGCTAGTTGAGCCTGGACATCGGGCCACACGTTTTCATTAATGTCCCAGATCATCCAGTTGTACCAACCACACCACACTGGAATAATTGTGATCAAGTGCCACAAGGCATGTGCATCAATGAGGTCGTAGAAAATCGGCGAGAAGTCGAACACTTCAAATAATATGCCAAAAGCCACAATCGCTGCTAGGAGCCCCGGGTAGATTGAGTATAATTTTGCCAGGTATGTGTAGAAACTTCCCAAGATCGTCGGTCGATCTCCCAAATATTTAAGATGATTTTTGCTGGGTTTCTTGTCGACTTGCTCCTTTTCATAGTATTCAGAGTAGATTTGGTACAAGAGAAGAATCAACAACACATTCTGAATGATGCCCACAGCAATGTTGGCTTGCATGTTGTAGGTGTAGGACCAATCGGTTTCCAAGCGATGTATATGATTAGCATAGGCAGCAACACAGACCCCCAACCATATCCAGCGACCGAGACGGTTTTGCGGACGGTAAAGGCGCCAGAAGCGAGCACCAATGGCATGAGCCAGCGACAACACGGTGAGACCGGCAAAGTAGTAATCGAGTTTCTCTGTTTGTTCAGTGTCTCGAATGTGGAAAATGGTGGAGAAAGCCCATGCTGCCATCGATACTAATGCTACCCCCATGACGTCACAGTAATAGATCCACGGAGTCGGGTACTTTTTGATGGCGTTAATGATTTGGTAGAGCCCGAGGAATTGGACAATGAAATTACCCACGGAGAATACCACCAGAGCAAGTTCTTGACACCCGAACACTCTCAAGAAGGGCCACTTGCCGTGGAATTGCAACACTTCAAGATTTTCCGCCCTGCGTTCGGCGGTGATGATCCGCTGGCACTCGTAGTCACAATTGGCTTCACAATCCCACCCAAGCAACTGGAGATAGCGAGGTAGCGGCTCTTCGGTGAAGCTCCAGTGCGCTGTATAAGGCCATTCGGGATGGTCGTCACGGTAGTCGTAATGAGCACACGCCATGTGCCAGCACTGGCCCTTGCAAAAATCCATTTCGTCGAGATTGTCGCCGGCACTGGCTTCCACCGACACCATCGCCACAAGCGAGAGCACCAACGCTATCGGCCACCGCATACTTGGATATAAGCAAACCGTATCTCCCGCAGCTTGATTCAGGCAAATTCTGCACGCGCGCCCCACTGGCAGCTAGTGCTCCGAAAACGTTTTTCTGCTATGGCAGATTGACACAATCGTGGCGCAAGCTACTGTAGATTCCTAAAATTTTTGATTAGGTGAGGAATTAAAAACTAAACGAAATAAATAATGATACATATATCAGAAACAACTTCTAGCACTTGTGCCCGTAAAGCAATTCGTAATTGGGGTAATTGAAAGGAAGATCGGTCGGCCCACTCACTCCTTCGTGGCCGGGACTGATGGTGGTGAACTCTGACGGCACGAACCCCTGTTGGAACTCAGTGAGACCCAGCATGTCGCCGTTCAAATCGGTGATAAAGTCCAAATCGTCGAGGAATTCCCAATTGAGATCGGCCAGGTTCGAGGGCAGTGACTGAGACTTGCTCGGCCGAGTGCGAGCTAAACTGATGTGTTCCGCCATGTAAGGCATGATTTCCACGTACCGCTCAGCGGTCTTGAAAGTCTTGCCGTAGCGATTGAGCACTTGCATTGACTTTTTCATCCCATCACTGATTTCTTGCTCGAGTTGCGAGTCCATTCGTTTTGAAAGTAATTGCGTTCCCAATATGAGACCAGCCCAAAACACCACATTTGTGGGAACATTAGTCTCATTGAACTTGTTGGCACCCTGAGTAACATTGTTGAAGTAGTAGATGAGATCAATCGTCAATAACGCCGCCTTGTACGCTGCTTCCTGAAACTGGCAGGCAAGCTTATTCGATTCCTGGCCGCTTAATTCCGAGATAAGTTCGTGGATGAAAAATGGTCTCGCCAAAATCATCACAGCATACAATTGGAACATGTGCATGATCAATGCCACGTGGGAGTACTCTGGAAGTTGTGGTTGCTTCATCAAATGCTTAATCTCAAATCTTTCGTCCAAGTTGAGCGCCCAGTGCTTGAGCTCAAGAGCTAGCAGTCGGGTACGGTTCAAATCAATCGATGCTCCCAGGTAATAGTTATCAACCGTTTGGGAGATAATGATCATAAGTCTCACAAGTTCAAGCTGCAGCAGTTCTGATATCAGCTTGGCTTTAACTTTTCTGGCACGAATCAACGGAAGTTCGTCCCAATCCCGATCGGCGATAGCATATGGCCGCCCCAAAATTGACCCGAGCACGCGGTCGGCAATGTAAAGAGACCGGAACACCCGATTGCGGTGAGCTACCTCAAGGGGACTGAAGTAGGTTTCAGCAATAAACAGTCGGTGAAGCCCAAGAGCTTCCGCATGGCGAATGGCCGCGTTCAAGTAGATCCACAGCGTCAGCTTCTTGCAAAGCGCCAGGTAGTAGAAATGGGCCAAGAAGTTGAGTCGAATTAACCAGAAGTCATCAAAGTCTTGGTATTCCTGCCATAACTTTACACCGGTGCGGAAGAGATCCGCCAGCTTTGGCAGCTCTGTCTTGCCTTGTTCAAAGTCCATAAAAAGCGATCCGAGACCTGCCACAACATAGAGAGTGATCTTTTCGTAGGTAAAGTGGTACGGGTTAGCGTACACGGATTCAGCCAATTCGTCAACGAGGTAATTATCATCAAAAATGTAGTAAATGTCGTTAACGTTAATGTTGAAGTACTCGACGTACTTCTTAAAGTCGTCACGGTCGGGTAAAGGAACCTTAAACTCGATATTGAAGTAAGGTTTATCAAGCACAGGACACGCCTTCAAGGCATCGGTATAGACGGAGTTGCCGAAGAAGTGACAAAAGATGTTTCTCGAGTCATACAAAAACGACAACGGACACGTCTCGGAGATGTACCGATAAGTTCCTGCCGAATCGGCTAACCAAATGGCACACTTACCTTGTTGGTTGGTGATGGTGAGATCCTCTTTATCTTCAGCCTTAACTTCATCTTCTTCGTCGAAAGTGAGCAAAGGTTGTAGCAGTTTAGGGATCAGCTCTTTATTCAGTGGTTGGTCTGCTTGACCGGGGGCAGAAGTGTTACCCAGAGCCGGTGTCAGGGCATTCAGCACGCCAGAAAACGGCAGATCGCCCTGTGGAGAGTTCAGCTGTGATTGGTGTTGCGGCGACGGGAATCCGCCGGAAGTTGAGGTGCCGTGGCTATAGTCGGTAGACCTACCATTTGAAGATACCAGAGCAGGGTCGTGGGCTAACGTGGGGATCAGCGGCGGTACGGTGGGGGCCGACAACGGCGACACCCCCATCGCGCCGATGAAGGCGGAGGTGCCGGGGCTGACGCCGGCGGGTGGCTGCGGCGGCGGCGGCACTCCTGCCGGTATCCCTGTGGCAGCAGCTGGTGGAGGCACTGCTTCCGCCTCCGATTTGAACCGTTTGCGGTCGACCCGCTCGCCCTTGAGCGTCCGGCGGTCGACCATCAGATACACGCAGGGCAAGCCCTTTTTCGTACACCGGTCACACATCTGGAGGCCGTTACACTTGTGCTTAGCCTTACGGCACCGGTCACACGCCAGCAGGACCTTCTGCCGCTTGTCTGGGGGCAAGCGCCGCACCCGTTTCTTGGGGCCACTCGTGATATGGCCGCTGAGGTTTGGCAAGGTCAGCATGTTGGGGGGGATGTTCATGAGCGGCGCTGGGGGCAACGAGCCGCCGATGGGAGCAGCACCCATGTTGTGGTGTTCCATGATGGAGGCGCTGGCAGTGGTCAACTAGGGTAGTATTGTCGAGAAGAAAAAACGGCGAGCTGCCAATGTCGGGAAGTCGAGCACAAACGACAAAAAGCCGGGTAGTGCAAAAGGTGAAAGATCCTAGAGTGGACCGCTCATGCACAGGGCCTACTTCTAACTTGCATGACGTGGGGTGGAGGCAACCAGATGACATGAAAAAGTGCTGGGTGTGGGGGGGGCGAAGGAGAGAGATGCGTAGACGACAGGAGGTGGGAGCGGTGGTGCCAGGCTTAGGACGGTGAACTAGACGAGAGCTATCATTATTTTGTGGTTCGCTGTCGCAGGCAGCATGACATAATCATATCCCTACGTGACTGGGAGACATTGCTTTCTCTCAGTACTGGCTGATCCCAGCCTGTGGCTACCCTAACGGAAAGAAAAAAAAAAAAAAAAAAAGAAGNAAAAAAAAAAAAGAATGCACGGTGGCGCTTATCTGCAAGACGGTAACCCTTGGCAGGTCAACGCTGCCCGTCGTAAGCCACGAGGGGCGGAACCCCGAGCAAAAGACAGTGCTCGAGCTGCTCTTGCCGACATTTTGGCGACACTGGAGACACCGCGAGATAAACGGCAACAGCGCCATGCCGTCGATCGCGCTCCTAAACACATACGCCAGTGGCTTTGATCATTAATGCCAAGGTGGCGAAGCTAGCAGTCCTTATAACCCATTTGCCGCACTGCTTTCTTTCCACATGTGGCGAAGGGGACCAAAAAAAAAAAAAAAAGCCACCTTGGGACAGCTGTGGGGGTAGGAAATTTTTTCCTCGAGGGAAGCACCCTTAGTCAGGGCGGGGTGAGACATGTCGCTGCAGTCTCGACCTTATTTTGTGGCTCAGTAATTATGCTACCTCGACTGCATCGAAGCCAGGCGCATTTCTCCTTCCGTAGAAGGCGATGCTCTTATCGGGGACACACAGCAACCTCACGTTTGCCTCCCCCCCTAGCGAGAGATTCCACACGCAGACACGGCATGGGTGGCTTGGATGAGACAACCGATGTCGGGCATATCGGGATCTTCCTTGGTGGCTTCACCGCATATATAATTCGAGGTTTGCCGCCACTGTGAATGGTTACCCCCCACATAGAGTAAGCAATTCCGTTTCTGATAGGGCTGTCTAAGACATCACCCCCCTCGATAGCGGGGTACTTACTATTCACGTGGCTTTAGTGTCGGCAACCGGAAGTTGATTTAGCGATTCTCATCTTTGGTAGTGTGAGACGATTTTTATTTGGAGTCGAGTGATCGTCGGCAAAATTACCCGATTAGGCGGAAGCGCCCGATCCACCGCTCACCTCAAATCGGTTAACCCCATCGTTATATATCTTTCACCTCTTCACAGGTACCCTCCTTACAATTGCCTATTCATCATGACAACACAAACAACGGTCGCGACATCGGTTGACAATGTCAGCGACGTCCACGCCGCTACCACCAGAGGCTACAACATCACTCAACGAGGGTCTCAGAACATCTCCATGGGGGGGCAGCACCCGTACCAGCTCCCCAAATTCACTGACATGAAGGAGAAACGCAAGTGGATGTTGCAACACATGGCGGGAGCGTTCAGAGTATTCGCTCGTAAAGGCTACACCGAAGGCACCGCCGGCCACATCCTGATCCGCGACCCTGTTGACCCCACCACGTTCTGGATTAATCCGTTGGGCAAGCACTTTGGCCTCATGAAGGCGCTGGACATGGTCCACGTTGACGAGGACGGCAACATCTTGCCTGACGGCAACCAATGCGCCATCAACGCCGCCGGGTTTGCCATCCACTCGGCGCTTCACCGGGCTCGACCCGATGTCGATGCTGCCTGCCACACCCACTCTGTCCACGGCAAGGCATTCCTGGCGCTTGGCCAGGAGCTTGCCATGATCAACCAGGACGTGTGTACTTTCTACAAGTCGCATGCGTTGTATAACGACTTTGGTGGGGTGGCGCTTGAAGCCAAAGAAGGTGAGGCGATCGCTGAAGCTGTTGGCCAAGGCAAGGGAGCGATTTTGCGTAATCACGGATTGATCACTGTGGGTAAAACCGTCGACGAAGCCGCTTACTTGTTTACGCTTATGGAACGCTCGTGTGAAACTCAATTGTTGGCGCAGGCCGCCCTCAAACCGGGACAGGAGTTGTGGTTGTGTGGCGACGAAGAGGCTGCTTATACCGAGCACGAGTCGGGCGATCCCGAGACGTTGTATACTGAGTTCCAACCGGACTACGAGATGGAATTGGAATTAAACCCTAGCTTCTTAAAATAAGGGTAAACCTTTTTCACCAGAAAATGTACATGTGATTAAATAGTTTCTTAAAATGTATATGTGGGTTACAAAGGCATCATGATTTCGTCGTACAACAATCGCTTCAAGTCTTTGATATCCAACTCGTCCTTTTTCTTGTCGAAGTCAAAGAAATTGTCGGGGATGGGCTCGCTCACGGGCTCATCGTCGGGGTCGTGATATAGTTTGAGGTAAGGGTGTTTCAATGCGTCGTCGACGGTGATCCGCTTGGCGGGGTTGAAAATGAGCAACTTCTCCAATAAGTCGATGGCCAACGGGTTGATTTCGTCGGCGTTGGGGAATAACAGCTGGAAGGGTACTTTCTTAAAGAAAGGTAACGAGCGTATGTATTCTCGCGCCCGCTTCAGCTTGATATTGTAGTAGTCTTCCATATTCGGGGTGCCTAGCTTTTCCAAGATCAACCATAATTGGTTATGGTAGTCTCTACCAGGGAAAAGCGGCCGTCCCGATAACATTTCCGCTAATATACACCCGACGGACCACACGTCGATGGCGGTGGTATATTCCTGGAATGTCAACATGATTTCCGGGGCCCGGTACCACCGGGTGGCGACGTACTCGGTCATGAAGCCGAAGTTATCCTCCAGCAGGGCGATGCTCCGGGCCAAGCCGAAATCGCACACTTTGAGGTCGCAATTCAGATTTAGTAATAGGTTTGACGGTTTAAGGTCTCGGTGCAACACGTTGGCGGAGTGCATCGCCTTTAACGCTCGCAACGTCTGGTAGATGAAGTATTGGATGTGGTCGTCAGTGAGCCGCTGAGTACGGATCACCCGGTGCAAGTCGGTTTCCATCAATTCCTGGATGAGGTAGATCTCATTAAACGCCTCGTACAGCACCGGGCGCTGGATGGCCAAGATGGAGATAATGTTTTCGTGGTTAAAGTGTTTCAACAATTTGAGCTCGCGTAATGTTCTCAAACACAACATCAGGCGCTCGAAGGGCTCGATCTTCTTGATGGCGACCTTTTGGTTCAGCGGCAAGTGGATCGCCGAACACACGATGCCGTAGGCACCTTCGCCGACGATTTCGAGCACCTGGTAGTGGTCGGAGACATTGAACGAGACCTGCCGCGGCTGAGACTCCAAGTTGATATCGTCGTTCATAGGCGGGAACACGTTGAAGGGACACGCCACCACTTATGTTTGGGGAAAAACTAGATGCAGAATGCGAGGGGAATCAGGAGTAGCGAGGGTGGCGGCGAGGTTTATATGGGTCGCCAACCGAATAATGACGCAGCGCCGCGGTCGGGTGGGATGATGTCGGTTTCACGGTACCCTCAGCGGTGGTGGTGACCGCGTATTTTTCGGATTTAGTACCCCCACCGGCTCGCCAAAGCTTGGCCCACCCACCCTAAAGGCAATTTTTCAGTGGGTCGCGCCGGCCCTCGGCGCAGTACGTACCAACCTGAAACAATGTGCGCGTGCGCGCGCGCGTGGTGGTGGGGAGATGTTGCTGTGTGGTGGGTTGGCAGCAAGTGATGAGATGGTCTCTACGTCAGACAGATAACAACTACCAAAAATTTTCGCTGATTTCCTTTATAATTATACAATACTGAGGGGATGAGCCGTAATTCATTAAAATGTTCCGCGAAACACCACCCCGCCTGGGGGTGGGCCCTCTCCACCGTTGGGGGGAGAAGATTTCCCCCCCACATCGACGAGGAGGTTGAGAAAAGGGGGAAGGGCGTAGTGGGACCTATTTACGCTTTCTTCTTTCTGCCAAACAACCCCCGCTTCTTCTTCTTACCGCCATCGTTCTTCAAGCTCAGCGCCGAGTAGTTCTCGGTCTGGTAAATCGGCTGGGCGAACGCGGCGCCAGGGCGAGCGAAGTCCAGCGGGGCCGGCGCCTGGGCCAGCTCGCTCAAGTTCTGGTGGTGGAAGTCTTCGTGGAACCCCCAGCCGAGACGGTGGGTCTCCAACTGGTCGCGGTAGCTGAGATCACCGGTGATGGCGTACTCAAACCCCCGGATAGTGTCCAAGGGCCGCTCGTTACGCGACCGCGTCGGGTTGCTCATATCTTTCTGCTGAATGGGGTTGCCAAAGATATCCTTGAGCTCGTTCGACGCCTGCGAGAGGTACGACGGGCGTCTGGCGGCGGCGCCTTCAGGGTCCTCCTGGTTGGCCCGCGCGTTGAAAGCTGCCTGCTCGAACGGTTGCGCCTCGTTCACCGCCGACAAAATGGGGTCGTGGACGTTTTCGTTGCGGATCTTATCGCCCAGCCCCATCTTGACGTCGATCTGGTTGATGTTGGTGGGGGGGCCCGAGAGGCCTTTAGACTTGCTTCTGAAAATCGCCATGCCGCCGGATCAAGTGGTGGCTGCCGGGGGTTTTCTTATGTTTATAAAGTTTTTTTCTCTCACCCCCTTCCTCGATGTATGATTGCAGGGTACGTCAATTGATCGGGGCACGCAATAGCTACCTAAAAATTTAGCGCCATGTGAGAAGAGTCAACTTTAAACCAAGAGGCGGTGTAACTTGAGATCCACTCGAACCATGACAAATTTATATTGAAAAAAAACGGGTTTAGGCCGCGGCAAACGCGTCTACACGTATATAGACACGGGCCTTGGCCTTCGCTACCGCCACTAAAACCTCAGTCAGGGTTCCTGCGCGATAGCACCCCCGCTTGTGCAGGGAAACAACAAACACCTTACGAGATGCCGGCGTCTGTTGATCCCACACCCTGCCTGGCGCCGGGGATACGTCGCGCTTGATCTAACCGGCGGTGGGAGCAGGGGGGAGCCGTCGACAAGGCGCAAAATCTCGTTAACACTACGCGTAGGCAGGGCCACCATAAACGACGGGTACGAGTTCTACCATTGCGAAAAAGAAACACGGTAACCACTGGTAGTCGTGTATGCTAGTATGTATCTATTAATATCCGAGAAACGTGAGACAACCAACGTCAACAAGTATTGACGTTGATAGGAGAGAAATGGGGAACAATATGAGTTTTAGGCGTCGTCAGCGGGCGCCAGTTTTTCGTTGGCGTTGGCGATGGCGGCGCTGTCGGTGGTGGCGGTGTCGCTAGGGGATGTGGGCGAAGCAGTAGCAGCAGCCGCAGGCGGTTCGGGGCCTTGGCTCGCCGAGTCCCCGGGCTTCCTCTTGCCCCGTTTCCGACGTTGCGGTTTCTTATCGTCGTCTCCCTGATTTGTAGGCGGCTTTACCGTGTGCTTTTTCTTTACACTGAGCGGGTTGGGCTCCTTGACTTTTCTCCGTTTGCGCTGCGGTTCCGCACTCGCGTCGTCGGCGTCGGCGCCGGTGCGGTTTAACCCCGTCGTAAGCTTGGCGCTCTCGATCTGGTCGCGGTGAGTCTCCAGCGCCTTAGAAATCATCTCCATCACCATCACCCCGGGGTTCATATAGATCAACGGCACCCCCGGGATCTTGCGTAGCTGCTTGCGAAGCCGCTCCGATTGAGTGGCAACGACATAGCGGTGCTTGTTCTCGCCGTCAATATTGGTCACCAGCTCGATGCACCGGTCGGCGTCGATGGCGGGCTTGTGGTTGCACCGTCGGCGCTCGAACTTCTTGCCGAGGGCGATGAGCTTCTCGTCGTTGGTCTTGTAGAGCTGCTCCATGCAGCACTGGGTGATCATGGGCTTGATCTCGCCCTGGACGGTGGAGCTGAGCCCCTTGAGGATGTTGTACTTGATGTTGTAGCAGTGGATGACGATGTCGGCGTCGACAAGCGTCTGGAACGGCGCCTTGAATTTAAACGAGTGGACGTACACCGCCATCTGCTTCTTATAGGCCTTGGCTCGCTTCAACCTCATCTTGGTAAGGCTACGGTGACTGACGTTAGCGGGGTCTGGGGTGTTGTTGCGATGAGCTGAGGTTGGGGGTCCAGCGCGCGATCGCCGCTTTTCGCATCCCCCGAGCCCCACCACGCCAATGAAGACATTAAGCCGGATCAAAATGCCTCACAATGAGATTTATGAATTAAACAAACACTTTGTGAACCTCTAAGATAATTGCATGTGTTTCAGCCCATATTCTTTTTTTTTTTTTCCAAAACAATCAATCCCTGACCATTGTTATGATATGTACTAATAGATTCCATATTGTACCAACTACTAATTCCACGCTCCTAAGCCTCGGCGTGCCTCGCCGTTGGTCGTTGGCCCAAAAGTGAGATTAGAACGTGCGCTCGCCTGCGATTCGACGGTTGAGCCGCTAGCCGCCATGAACAAAAGCTTCCGACCCACGGACGTTGCCGCCAAACCACTCACCAAACAAACGCCTCTTTCCCCGTTGGCACGGCTACGATGCAAACTTACGTATGCTTGCCATCCCCTGTTTACCCCACATAGCGATCTAAAATCCTTACACTTGCTGTTGGGTGTCGGCGGGCGGTGGAGGGGCATTGCTGTTTTCCCAGCATTCCTCGCTGGCGCCACCTCCCATCACTTATCTCTCCTATTTTTGTGTGACTTTTTCTTGGTGTGCATACAGCCAGTGAGTACCCGGCGGGAATTACATACCCCATACTGCCACCACCCCTTTCTGTCCCCTCGTCTCCATCACCCTTCCCCTTTTCGGCTGAGCCCCTAGTTGCCGGCACCGTCCGCTTCGATGCTTAGCAAACTGCCGTTGTCGTTGTTTGACATCACCCTCAACTCGACACACGGCGACGTCGTCGTCGTCTACGGCAACGACCACGAGTGCGATCTCGTCGCCGTCTCGGGCACGGTCAAGCTCGCGGTCACCGGCGACCAGTTGGTGGTGAAACGGCTCCGCCTCTGGCTCACGGGCGAGCTCAACATCGACTACCCGAAACCGGTGTCGGAAATGGTCACCGATCAGGTGCAAGACCGCTTTTGTGTGCTACGGGTCGAGTGGGGGAACTTGTTGAACGAGTCCCGGGGCGAGATCCAGTTTGGCAATTACGGCGGCGACACCCACGTCAAGTACAGCCGGGTGGAGGCGATGATCAAGCGCCAATTGGCCCACGAAGCGCAGCCACCGCGCCCGCTGGGTCCGGTGCGCCAACTACTGCTGTCGCCGGTGGGGTGTGATGGCACCCCGTTCCAGCAGGCGCAGGCGTCGCAGTACGTGTTGAAAAAGGGCAACTACCTGATCCCGTTCAAGTGTACTTTACCCACACTGTTTGCCGAAACTGTGGATGGCGTTCCCTATGGCGGGATCCATCATAAGCTTGTGTGCGGCATTGAGCGGCCAGGCATCCTTGAACGGCCCATATACCGCAGTCGTCCCGTGCGGCTAGTGCGGGCGATCCATCCGCATCTGATGCACTTGATCGACGCCATCGATGTTGACAATAATTGGCCGGGAAAGATCTCTTATAATGTTAAGCTTCAGTCGCGAGGCGTACCCATTGGCGGACGGATCCCGATTGAGTGGGTGTTTATCCCGGTGACGAAGACCGTCGACCTCCACATGATTAAAGCCCATATCGTCCAACAATCGCAAATCCATGTTAAGCCTCATACTTTACTCAGCCAGACGCTGGAGAAGATCGTGGCTAAGCAACACATTAATTATACTCGCGTGGCCAACGGCGATATCCCTGTCGACTACGAGACTCAGCCCAGCAACGGGCGCGGCGAGCCGTTCCGGGTGACCCTGGTATTTGAAGTGCCGAGCAACATTGGCGAGTTAAACCCGTCGTGCGACGTGGCGCGAGGCCTAATCAGAGTGAGACACCGGCTTGTGCTTCAGATCATCTTAAAGAACCAAGAGGGCCATCTCAGTGAGCTCCGCGCCAACCTCCCGATCTGGGTATACATTCTGCCCAATTTCCCCGTTACCGGGCCGGTGTTCCACATTAATGAAATGAACAAGTGGAGACCCGAACGCACGCGCCACGACGACGTCATCTTCCGGCGCCGCAGCCCGCTGGCAGAGGTGGCGCCCACCGACATCGACGACCGTCGCTTCCTGCCACCGCCAGTGTACCACAAGCACTACGAAGACCAGCCGTGCCACGACCCGTCGATCCTGCCTAATGAACCCACCATCAGCGGCTATTTCGATATCCCTATCCCGACACGCACCGGCGGCAAGACGCCTAATGAGGTGCCTACCTACCTCGAAGCCATCGGCACCGACGCCGAGGTGTTGATGGTGGACCCAGCGCCGGTTTACGAGGGCACGGTGGCGTCAGCGCTGCCGACACCGCCGGAAGCGCACCCCATCCGCACCCCATCACCGGTGGCCCCGGTGGCGGTGCCGGCGGCGTCGCCGAAACCGTTGGCGAAACTGATCATGCACAACTTACTAAAGCCGTCTCAACCCAAGCGGTAATATGAGTCCCATATTGATGTTACACGACATAACCTTTAATTTAAGAATTGGCACCCACCGCGTCGTTTTCGGCGTTTGATTTGCGCTATGCGCCATGACGTAGAAGTAAACACCCCCATCAAGCAGCCGCGCGATACTCTGCGTCAGCCTGCGCTACAACACCGTGGCCTCTTTCTCGGCAATCTATGCTCTGTTGCCACTAGCAATAGTGCTTTGGTCAGGTTGTGGCTAAGTTAGTGATATCTCCCCCAGATCTACCATCACCTGTTTTTATTTTTTCTCGAGGCGGGTAGGGCCTCCTTTTCCCCCCTACACCCCCTTCGCGAACATATCCCCGTATCTCTGGCTAGTTTCCCGATTCGTACGGACCCTGCTTTGTCCCTAAAGCTAGCCCACGTTCAGCTGTTAGTGATGTCGCGGAAAGTGTCGTGCCACTGATTAATAAATTCCTGAAGACAACAATCCCGAAAATCGCCGCGAACCCCCCTGTGTCCATTTTTGTCTGTAGTCCTCGGCGCACACCTCACACAAACCCTTTTGATATTTGTGTTTATTTGCGGTAACCGGTTTTCGCACTACGCACCCACTTTCCTAACCCTACCACTAAGACACCCACCACACTCCCCCCACCCACTGAGCCCGCCATGGATCCCCCGCGCAAACGCCTGGCTAGGGACTACCAGTTCGGTACCCGCATCGGCGAGGGCCTGTACTCGACGGTGTACCTGGCGGTGGACATCCACTCCAAGAAGACCTACGCCGTCAAGATCTTGTCTAAACGACACATCGTCAAGGAGGACAAGATCAAGTACGTCAACATCGAGAAAACCACGTTGCACCGGTTGGGCCAGCAGCACCCCGGTATCGTCCAGTTGTTCTACACGTTCCAGGACGAAAACTCGTTGTTTTTCGTGCTTGACTTTGCCGAGTACGGCGAGCTCTTGCTGATGATCCGCAAGCTTGGCCTGTTGCTGGAGCCCCTCGCCAAGTTCTACATTTGCCAAATTGTTGACGCTGTTAAATTTATCCATTCTAAAGGTGTTATCCACCGCGATTTGAAGCCAGAGAATATTCTTGTTGGTCACGACTTCAACCTCAAAATCACAGACTTCGGTGCGGCCAAGTTATTGGAACTGGAAGCACAAGACGACAGTGACCACGTGAATTACGATCTGATCGAAGGCACCCCACCTAAACAGGATGAATCTAACCGTCGTGGCTCGTTTGTCGGCACCGCCGAGTACGTCGCCCCCGAGCTCCTCAAATACAACGAGTGCGGGTTTGAGCTGGACGTGTGGGCGATCGGATGCATTCTCTACCAATTCTTCTGTGGCACGCCTGCGTTCAAGGCGGAAACCGAATACCTCACCTTTGAGAAGATCATCTCGGGTAAGTTTACTTATACCACCCAATTGCCTCCTGACGTCACTTTCCTCATAGACCATATCCTCGTGGAAGACATCAACTATCGCTACACTATCGAACAAATTCAACTGGCACAGTGGTTCCTGGACGTGAAATGGGAACCTAACTACATCTGGGGGCGCAAGGTGCCGAGGTTCGAACTGTATAACAGTCCCTCGGGTCAGCCGTACGTGCCCACCATCAAGACCGGCCGTAACGTCAACAAGCTGAATCTGTACCACACCTTGCACAGTCAGATAAAACAAAGCGACATCTACGTTCCCCTGGTGGGTTCACAAAAGAAGTGGCAACAGCAGTCACGTGGCGGCTACCTCAAGATTCCTCCCAGTCAACAGCCAGGAGCACTGCCCATGCAGCAGACATCGCCTGCCGGAGGGCCGACACCGCCCCCGACTCCGCCACAACAACAACAACCACAGCCGGCGGCAGCAGCGCGCGCTATGGCGACAGCAGCACAGCCACGTCCTGTGAGTCAGGTGATGCCCCCCGCCAGTCAAGCGTTTGGGGCGATGGCAGCTGCCGCTAGCGCTAACGGGTCGCGTTACTATGGGGCTGGTCCCGGAGGCCTGGTGCCTCAACCGATGGCGAGATCTCCCGCAGCGAAGCCCCGAGCCGGGGGCATGCCCATGCCTCAAATGGGAGTACCGCATGCCCACGGACCTAAACCAATGGCTCCACAATGGCAAGGACAATTAGCACCTTCTGCTCCGATTAACGACCAACTCAAACCTCAGCCGATGCAATATCAACGACAAGGCCCTTATGCTCAGCACGGTACCACTAACTTTGCTGCTGCCGCCGCCGCCGCTCGAGGCCAAGCAAATGTGGCCAACTCTCAGGCAACTCAAGCAAATCAGCCAACCCAGCCAACGCAGCAGGTCCAGCAAGTCCAGCCAGTGCAGCAGGTCCAGCCAACGCATACTTCCCAACCACAGCAAGTGCCGCAACCAACTAAACAACAAAACAAGTCCATGTCGACCACGCCCACAGAAAACCCTACAACTCCCAAAACCGCAGCACCCACAACAATGAAACCGACCACCTCTGCAACCACTGCTGCTGCTGCTGCTGCTGCTACGCCTCGCAATGGTTCAGCAAAGCCGTCGTCTCCACCACCCACCACCATTCGATACGCGGAAATTGTGCTGCTTCTTGACCCCGAGGAAAAGATCCTCAAGCTCGACACCATTTTCAAGTCTCATCTTAGAAACCTGGTGATTCATCGTGATGTCAACATTGAGCTTGACGATGTGTCAATTGAACAACTCGTTAACAAGCACGACAAACTTTTGGCACAAGAGCAGGTGCTGGTGGTGGCAGTGATCACCAATAAGGCGCGGGTGTTCTTCATTGACTCCCAATTGAACGTTATGCTTGTCGACCTCAAAGCCAACTACGGTGCCGACTACTCAATGTATGACTACGATTTCGAATACGTTGAGGACGATCCTGATCTGAGGGGTGAAGGGTACCTTATCCTCGAGTTGATCAAGGAAGGAGGCGACTTGGTGTTCCTACAACGCAACACCGTCGCCAACCAAATGCTGCAACTTCAATTGCAACCGAATAAGGTGCAAGTTGTCGATGGGACCAATGTGGTGAAGCGCGGGGCGTCGAAGCTGTGGATTGAAAGTTTGCTCACGGCGAAAGACCTTGTGGCCCAGGAGATCAAGTCCCCGACCATTCCTCAACAGCCGCAACGGACCCCTACGCCGCCTTCAACGGTAACATCGCCACCCTCCGCGAGCTTGGGCCAACGGGTAAAGCGACTGGTGCTTCCCAAGCAACGGACACCATCACCTCAGACGAAGCCAGCACCTAAGTCCAATCCTTTCAAGCCAAAATCGGTAGCGGCGTCGGCGGCCCTGTCGTCGTCAAAGAAGGCCCGTCCTCCTCAATCGAGAACCGCGTCGTCGCTGGCAGCATCGATGGCTTTCGCTGCTGCCGCTGCCGCCCATAAATAAATTGCATAGCATTAATGTCATTAGCCACTATATACAGATAAAGCGTAGGCGCAATCTCGCACCACCGAAGATTACCGTTGGTAGTCGTAAAAGCCACATTTACGTTCAAACACCTTGATCGTCTGTTCCTCGACAATCTTCTCCACTCCTTGTTCAGTGTGGACCCACAGCTTGATGGCGTCGCAGGTGGCAAACTGGGCTTCCATGTCGTTGATCACTTTCTTCATCGCGTAAGGGTCCTTTTTGAGGTCCTCGTTGCTGATGGTGACTTCGGGGAACTTGACCGTCTCCTCTGCCGTCTTTCGAAGCTTGGCTTCGTAGTTGGCACAGTAGTCGATCAACTGGCGCCGGTTCTGCCACTCCGCTCGGACGGTGGTGTTGAAGTAAGCGAGACAATCGGGGGAGTCGTTGATGTTGGCAGCAATGTTGTCGTCCAACTGGTGGCGCAGGAGAGCTAGGAAGTGCCGGATACGTGTCAGGTCTACACAGTTAGCATCGGTGGCAAGATTTTGTGGAGACGGCGGCGTCATTCTTTCAGTGGGAATCGCAGCGCGAACTCCGGTCATCAGTGGCAATGTGTATGGTGAGACCAACCATGCCCAACTCCGGCACCCCGCGGGTGATTACTGAGGCCAAAGCGACCGAGAAGGCGGTTGTCGAGACTTCCAAGAGTGAAAAGCAGTACATGACGCGTGTTACTCAGCGCCAGGTGGGGTTCTGGCTCCAGTTCTCAGGCGCGGTCGCTGGCAGCATCTATGGCCTCCACTCAATGGGCTTTATTTAATTTGTTTGTTCAAACGAAATTCTAATTGATTTCCTTTAGTATCGACATTCAGCCACGGGTGGGGTGATACTTATTTTATAATAATTTGTGTGGATCCGATTATGGCTATCAGATCACCTCGCACCAGGCTTTTCTTGCGTTTATATACCCATGGTGGTTAATTCAGCCACCACCAACGACTATTAAATACCTAATGATTCATGAATGTCAAAGCACCCTTCACACAAATCTCATACCGCGTATACCTGTTCTCTAGCTCAGCTCCAGCCGTGGCTGCCCCCCCGTTCGCAACCCATCTGGCGTATGCACACCATTGCGGTTACCCACGCAAACAATCAGCATACCCTGACCGCACCACATCAATGAGTGAGTCCAGCCCCCAGCTCCCAGGGGACGTTGAAACCAAGAACCAGTCGACGAAAGTCGACAACGTCAAGCCGCCGGAACAATTCAAACCGGAGGAATTGCACCCGGCACCCGAGCTTTTCGACGGAGAGCAGCTCTGCGAATGGTCCAACGATACCGTGCCCCCGAAAGACCGCAAGGTCAAATTGATCCGCCGCGTCCAGACCAACACCGAGTTGGCCCACAAGGTGTGGCTTGGCGGGTGGGCGTTGTGTGTGGTGGCAGGCACGATCTCGACCCTCTGGTGGTTGTTGCGGTTCAAGAATAAGTGGTACATCAACTCGTTGATCTACCGATTGGCGTGGGTGGGGGCCATTGCCGCGTTGACGGTGACGATGATCCGTAAATTTGGCTTGGCGACGATGCCGTCGTTGACGATGATGGCGACGCAAGTGAACTTCAACTACTTGGTGTTGGCCAACGTGTGGTTGCTCACGTTTAGACTGGTGTTTAAGATTGTGCCTTACATCTTGTTGGGGGTATTACATTTAGCCGAGGAGTTCAATGTCGTACCTATCCTCAAACAATCGAGTCAGATTGCCCAGGTGATCGCGTTTGACGAATTGTTCCTCATTGTTTACTTATTCTTGCGGACGATTTTGGTACAACAGACCCTGGGGTTCCAGTTGGCCATCTACCTCGTGTTCTACTGGATGCGAGTGTTATTCAACAACGACACTAAAGTCTTGTTTTCCACCCTTATTAAGAAAGTGGACTGGAAAACGAGAAACATCAAGAACAAACACTTCCAAAAGTACTGGAAGTCATTCAAGAAGTTCGTGTACGCTAAGCAAACCAGTGAAAGTTTCTTGTATAAGGAGGAACTCCAAGAAAATGATGATATGCCCAGTGATGACGATGGTGATGATGATGTCGGCACTGCAACTGGCAGTGGTACCGCCGCTAACGGTACCGCCGTTGATAACAAGCTCCCGAGCCCCAGTGTGTCCGACACTACCAGTGGAATTACGACTACCAACACCAACGGCAATGCGTTGTCAGCTCAGCAAACGGAACGGTCACAAGTGTCGATGAAAACGGCGCAAACCTCCCACACTAAAGGGTCGCGCCGTCTGGCAGCCAAGGCCTTCTTTAAACATCTGCACTCGGTGCTGCGTCTGAACCTGGCCAAACTGAACAAACTGAACAAACTGCTGAGTTTGGGTCCCGACGACGTGCTGATCAAGCGCAAGTAGAAAGACGCTATAGATAATTGTATATTTTATAATGCTTACACTGAAATTAGGGATGGAACAACGTTTTGATGTTGTGGCGCCGGTTGTACAACATGCTCTCGAACGTCTTCTGGCAATCTTCCAAGCGGCTCTTTTGCGTGATAAGGTGCTTAAGCTCCTCGACGTCGATGCGTCCTTGCTCGATGGCGTCTACCACCCCTTGGAAATCGTCCTTGGTGAAACACATCGACCCCGTCACCATCCGCTCGTTGTGAGTAATGCTCATGGGGAAAAACGGCACCAGTTTATCGGCCCAGATGGCGACGTTGGTGGCTACCCCACGCACTCGCAAACAGGCAATCGACGTTTCAAATGTCTCGGGAAGTCCCGAACAGTCGTAGACATAGTGGTACCCGTTTTTACCCGGCGAAAGCGCCATCAAGTCCTTGATGTTCTGTTCGACATTAGACCCCAAAGGGTTGTACACTTCGGCGCCTAACTTCTGGGCGAACTGGCGTCGACGCGACGCCGGCTCCGACACCACAATGCTCCCCACACCATGCCCCTTAAGGGCAAAGATAGTGGCTAAACCGATAGGACCGCCGCCCAAGATAAGCACCAGCGTTCCCGCCACGTACTTCGACACCTCGACGGCGTGCCACAGCACCGCGAGTGGCTGCACCAACGCGGCGACGTCGGCGGGGATCTTCGATTCGTCGTACTTGATCAACTTGCGTTCTGCAGTCACCATGTACTCGCTCAAGCCGCCATCAGAAAACCCCAACCCGGTAAGCCCCAACTGGGTGCATGCATTGTAGCAACCCTGTCTGCACCCCACGCAGGCGTCCACCGGGAGATTGTACCCGTCGATGGTGATATCGTGGTCAAAGCGGGGCTTGTCGCCACACGTGCCCGTCACCTCCACCACCACGTAGTCCCCCGGTCTCACCGTGGTCACCGCCGCCCCCACCTCGACCACCTGGGCCAGAATCTCGTGGCCCATCACCCGCGCGTGCAAGTGGGAAATCGGGTTTACGGCGTCGTTATCCTTGGGGAAAAAGATCGGGCCGTCGGTTAATTCCTTAAGATCGGTGCCACAGACACCGCAGTAGAGGATCTTAAGCTTGACGTCGTCGTCGCGGGTGATTTGCGGCTCGGGGTAGTCGTCGGTGAATTGCACCGTGTCGGCGTAGACAATCGCTCTCATCTTCAGTTATACACTAAAATATACGAACCAGGGGGTTATTTATACTATATTTTGACGCCAACAAACACCGGCATTACACGATTTCATCTTGCGACGTCGACCTCGGCGTAATTCCAAGAATAAATTTGCAGCCAGTGTTCCAGGTGGCTGGGTGCAGTACCACGACCCACTCGCACTGCACTGTGCCGGCAACGCCTACTTTCCAATTGCCGCGGCCTCCACTCACTCGCTACCTGATTTAGTAGAGTCGAGCTCCTAAATCCGCCAACCCAACACCCAAAAGAAACCTACTACTATGCCGGAAGTCTTCCAATTGGGCCATTTGCCCATCAAGGACCACTCGTTCTCCCCCAACCGCGACATCCTCGCCATCACTAAGGAGGACTGGGTCGAGGTGTACCTGATGGCGGCGGGCAAGCCCCAGTTGTTTGCCACGCTCAAGGAACACGACAAGACGGTGACGGCGGTGGACATCTCCCCCGATGGCACCAAGATCTTGACTTGTTCGCAAGACAGAAACGCTCTTGTGTGGGAGTGGAATGGCACCGAGTTCAAGCCGACGTTGGTGCTTTTGCGGATCAACCGCGCTGCCACTTGCTGCCGCTGGTCTCCCGACGGGCGCAAGTTTGCTGTGGGGTCGCTGGACCGCGTGGTGGCCGTGTGCTACTACGAAGAAGAAAACAACTGGTGGGTGTCGAAGCACTTGAAGAAACCCATGCGCAGTACCATCACCTGCATCGACTGGCACCCTAACGGGGTGCTTCTCGCTGCTGGTGGCACTGACGGCCACGCTCGTGTGTTTTCGGCCTACATCAAGGGGCTTGACGCTAAGCCTGAACCCACGGTGTGGGGTCTGAAGCTTCCCTTCCAAACCCTTTGCGGTGACTTCGAAAACGACACCAAGGCGTGGATCCACGGGGTTGCGTTCTCGCCTCTGGGTAACGCTCTTGGCTACGCCGCCCACGACGGTACCGTCACCGTGGTCTACCCTGGTGGCGAGGGCCAACCGCCCCGGGCTTTCTACGAAGTCAAGTCCAACAACTTGCCCTTCAAGTCACTCACCTTCATCAACGACTCGCAAATTGTTGCTGGTGGTCACTCGTGTAACCTTGTCATTTATCAAGGTAACGAACAAGGGTGGAAGGAAGGTAAGAAGGTGGAAAACGACGCCCCCATCGTCGAGCCGGCGTCGGCGGGTGATGAAGACGTGGAAATGAACACGTCGCAGGCCCTCCACATGTTCAAGCAAATGGACTTGAAGGGTCGGGTCACCAAGATCCAACCCGGTAAGTCTTTGCCCACCACTCACCAAAACACCATCACCGCAGTGAGAAACTACGGCCCCGGCAAGGTGTCTACTTCGGGCGCTGATGGTAAAATTGTCATCTTCTCGATTTGAAGACAATGGTTAAAGTATATTACAATTCTAAAAAAAAGCGTCATGTTTGAATTCATCACATCATCTCTACTTGTCTGTAGAAGTGCCCCAAGCGAAAATGTCACTAAGCGAGTTAACGTCGTCACGACCGGAGAGCTCGCCGTCAAAGAAACCATATATAGACATCGGCGACACCTGGGATTCGTACGTCGTCATCTTTAAAGGTGACATCGGGTTCTCAGTTGACTTTGGTTGGGTGATCTTCGATTCGACGTTCGGGGTCGGTACCAAAGCCGATCCTGCTGCGGTGAATATATTGCGCAATTGTCGCCAGAAGTTTTCCACTTGGAGCTCATTGGCAACGACATACTCGTCTTGCAAGTTGAGGGGACTGGGAGGAGCACCGTTTTGAGCGGCCTGGTCGTCCATCAACAGGTTGATAAACGATAACATGTCGGTTTGCGTTTGGGCGTGCTGGAAGACGTGGTTGACTCGCGTGTACAGCTCCATGATCTCACAAAGCTCCTGATGCTGCTTATCAGTGTACTTTACCCGAGCCTGTTCCAGGAGCTCAGGGTTGGCCTGATAGAGCTGAGGTTCCCGCAACAAGTGGTACATATAGAGAGCAGCCTTTTTGTGCCGCCACAGAACAAACACTTGGTTACTGCATCTTTGAGCTTTGTGGTAGCAGTCCGCCAAAATGGCACGAACAAGCTTCTTGCTAGTCTTGATACTGGGGTCGCTGCAATCAACCGTCACTGCAAGTCGACAAAACAACAGCGACATTAACGAACCAAGAATCTGAAGGTACCGATTGAGCCAGGGAATGATGATGATGGGGAAAATGCCCGCTTTACCACCGGGAGTCAAAGCAATGTTGATAGCATCAGTGACAAACTCGCCAAGCTCAACACACATTACCGTAAGCATTTTGCGAAGATAAAAGAACTCGAGGTCAACGTTACCCTTATTGTAGTAGTATATGTACAACCGGAAGAAAATCACCACAAGGTATAACTTTGCCTGAAGATAGTACTCGTAGCCTTTGATCATCACCACTGCTGAAGTCAATTCGGGATCGGTGCCATCGGACTCTGCTGGAATGAGGAATGAATCCTTTGCCAACACCAGGAATCGACCGAAAAGACGTACCATCAGCACCTCGGTCTCGCCAATAATGTCAACCAATCTCGAGAGCTTGATGGGATTTTTCACGTCAGAGACCACGTAACAAATTTCAGCAAGGTCAATGATGGCGGGACGGAATCTTATGAACATGCAGCTGATTTGCTTTTCCATCTGCTCGCGCTTGGGATCGAGGTTGGAGTTTTGCGTGTTGTATTGAGGCGTCTTGACGTCCCACGAGTTTTCGGCGATACACATCAGCACCCCCTTGGTCATGTTTTCGTAGATATCCAATCTTACCAAAATAAACCAAAGTTTACGTCGTAAATGCTTTTGTGGTTCGCTCATGTGGATGTTGATGTAATCGGGATCTCTGTTGAGCCCTAACGCCATAGCCATTTGGACGATAACTCCAAGAATGCTTTGGCGAGAGCCGTTAGACAACAGGTCTCCCATGATCGAAGAGTACTGCTCGAACAAGTGAGCGAAAAGACACGCTTGCACCACCACGATCGGCTGCTTGCGCATAAAGTTGTAGTGGTTTAAGCACTCTTCGGTGACGATAATGGCCTCAATGGGCACCGGGGACCGGATCACTTGACGTTTGGGACCACTAGGATACTCCAGGGGTTGGTTGGCGCCGGCACCAAGACTCAAGAGCGACGAGTACGAAAGCAGAGCGATGTACATCATCAACGCCACCAGGGCCAAATCTTGTTCTTTGGTGATTTTGATGGTGAGGTCGGCAGCGCTAGAGTCTTCACCAAAGATTCGCCGACAATCCTTGCGGATTTGGTTCTCATCGACGATGGGGAAATAGCCGTAGAGCGTGGAGAAAAACACATCAAAGTACACTTCCAACGGCGCCATCAGCTTCAACACCCGCCTCAACTTCTCTTCCAATGACAACATCAAATACAGCGGCGCCGTGTCCTCGCTGGGCAAAAATGTAACCCCGATCGGTTTCCCCCAGCGCGACAACAGGTCCTTCACTTCTGATATCAGGTGACCGTCTTCGACTTGCTTGACGTACATGTCGCCAAAGAGCTCCTTGGTGCGGTTGTCTAACCGCAGAAGCACCGGGTTGGTGTGTTTGTCGAACCGGTAGAAGAACATATCCTTATAATTGAACTGCTTCTCCTTCTTGCTGTCGTAGTTGCGAATGACGGCCATGCCTGGGTCTCTCTTGGTAAGCACCATGAACGGGAACGATCGATTAGGGACGAAAGTCGGTCCTGGGCCGGGGTACTCGTGTACTGACTTCTTTTCCTCTTCGTCAATAAATAAGTTGGTGTTACCCCGGAAAAAGAACAGAATCTCACCATCAGGGTCGTCGACAGGGTTGTTGCCCACAAGGATATCCGTATTCTCATCGACGATTTGTTTATACAGTTCAAACAAGAACAGGTCGCGTTCTTTGTATGATTTGACCGGGGTGACACTATTAGTGTCCGGGGATGACCGGGGGATACCATTAGGCGACGTGTGAGGGTGGAGGCCAGGAGGGGAAGGTAGGGGTGGACTGGGTTGTTGGAAAAACCCCGGCATGGCAAACGGAACTCTGGGAGGCCCGTCGGGAGTGTGCGATGGCTCAAATGGTGGTGGCTGGACGGGGTAAGGTCCCGGGTACGGCGTCGACAAATGAGCATAGATCTGAGGGGGGATCTGGGGTGGTACGGGGCCTGGAGGCGGTGGTACTCCCGGGGGCACGTTTACTGGCACGCGTCCTTCAAGTTCCTGGAGCCGGTGTTTAAGAGTGGCAAGTTCCAGTTTGAGGTCGTTGGAGGGGTTATTGACGGGGCGGACTATGGCAGGAGCATTATTCAAGTGGCTGGGACTCAGGTAGACACACAAATGAGGCGTCATGAGCCGGACACAGCGGCCACAGGGGAGCTGGCGATCGCACTTGGTCTTCTTGGCCCGACAGCTGTCACAGGAGAGGGCCTCGCGGCGGCGGCGCTTAGGGGTGTTTTCCTCGGGTCCACGATCTCGCGGGGCCTTTGCCGCCATGGTGTAAGGTCAACGAAATGGGGTCGGGGTGGCAATGGTAAAGTGCAACACGTCGATGTCGGTGTTAATGCCTGGTGAGGCGCAGGGTGCAGAATCAGAGCCGGTAGCAGCACGGGGGATGGACGGCTGCGACTGGGTGGGCGCTAGCGGTTTCGACGTAAAGTAATGTGGTGGGAAACGGGGGTGTCGCTGGGTACGGCTGGCAGGGGGAGTACCGCAAGATTTGCCGACGATGTGACCGGAGGTCGTGCGCAACCTTAGTTAAACCGTGGTCGTCGGATCCGGTGCTCGAAAAAAATCGCCGCAGACGGGGTGTTGCTACTTGTGCAGAGATGTCGGCCGAACGCTTGCGGTGCCGATAGTGGTGGAGATTTTAGCGGCGATGAGGGTGAAGCTGGGGTTTTATTATTTCCCCAGCGAAGTTCGAGGCTTAGATTTTTTGTGTCGCCACAAAAGTGCCGGGTACTAGGTGCTATTAACGCCCGGCATAAGTCAGTGACACGGGTGGAGACCTCAGGGAATAAGACGCAAGCTGCAGCGGTCTATCGCGCACTCCGTGATTCGGACCGGCCTCAACCCCCAAGTGAGGGCTACCCCCGACGCCGCCACGTGAGTGGTGGGCTTTGTTCGACGGGGATTCTAGGTAAGCGAAAGCACTACCTCGTGGCTGCACTCCTGTGGCTGCACTCTGGGCCAAGTACCGGCACCGGATCGATACCGTCCGCACCTTCCCGTGAGCGCTGATCGTCAAAGCCTCCGGAGGTGGTCGGACTTGGTCGGACTTTACCCCCGTAGATTACCCAATGGTATCTGTCTCGTGGCTCATCGCCAAGACGTCGACCCTGCGATGTCCCGGTGCCCGCAGATACCCATCGCCGATATCTCACCGGGTCGACATGAAAACAAAAACACCCAACAAATGGTACGTTTACCGCTAGGCCCCCCGATACGTGCAGAGAAAACGTTCCACTAGTTGCAGTTTCAGGGCGAGTGTGGGGTACAATATCGATTTACAATTTTTAGTGATAATATGTACGGAAGATGGATCGTGTGGCATTTTATCAACGGAAATACTTGCCGTCGGCGTCGCCCTGGTAGCGCCACTGGGGATTAATTGCCAGACTGTTTTCTAACTGGTACAACCGCCACGCCTCGCGAACGTGGTACGGCTGGAGGGTGCTGGGCTCGTCGCCCAGGTACTGTAGCCGGTTCTCCTCCACTTCCACCGCCTCCTCGCCCTCGGCGATGCGGCGGAGGGCGTCGGCCTTAGTCTTCCTCTTCGCCTCTACGTCCTGGAGCAACTGGCCTTTGGCCTCTCGTTTCTGAATCTCCATCGCCCGCGTGATGATCTCCCCAAGAAACGACTTCGACACCGCCAGCAAGATCACGGCGATGTTGTTGGGAATCAGGTGACCAAGCACCCCGTTGCATATTTTCTTCACCCCGGGTCGATTGAGCTTCATCTCCCGGTACGTCTCGAACCGCGCCATCTGTTCTGGCGTGAGGTTCAGCGATAGTAACTGCTTCTTGTCCGCCTCGCTCATATCTCGGTCGGGCTCTTCTTTTATAAGCTGTTTGAACCGAGCCGCAAGCTCGGGATCAACTTCTTCAAGCCCCGCCATATCCTTCAACTCCTCGACCTCTCGCTGGAGCTGCTGGTACTCCTCCGAGTCGCTGGCGTCGACATCAATGTCGCCCTGAGCCCCGGACTCGTAGGCCTCCTTGTCTCCGAAAAACACCCTCCAGATAAGCTCCTCGTCCTCCTCGTCGAGTGACACGTCCAGGTAATTGCCATCCTCGTCGTCGCTCATGGCGTGTAGGCGTGTTAGTCGTCGGTACCAGTAGGCGGGTGCGGCTTAGATGAGGCTGCGATATTGGCACCCACAACAAAAATATTGAAGTTGTGGAAAATAAGAGTCGTTGATTATCTAAAGAAGATGGTTACGTTCAGCCCGCTGCATAGCTTTAATTTTAAGTCCCACGTTGTTGTTGGGGTGTTCAGGGAGACCCAACGCCTCCTCAATCGCGGAGCACATATCGTCCCACGTAGGGAACTCAACTGCACTGTCGCCATTGCCTACTATTACCTCCACCGTATCGTCCTTATTCTTTTGCCAGCGGATATCGGTGACATTGTAGTACAGAAGCACCCGCTCAATAAAGGTCGCCACGGGCCACAGGCTGGGAGCTTGTACGGTTACGTCTTCAACTGGTCGTTTCCTGAATTTACTGTCGACGCCAGCCACTTCAGCATCAGCCGCAAGTAAATGGTATAAGATGGCCTGAGTGGCGTAAAAGGGAAGATCGTTGGCCTCAATCGCCTCGAAATTGTACCACAATTGCACCTGGGGCTCGTTCTCGTCCACGGCGAGTTGGATCGACTCCAGAAGCAACAATTCAAGCGAGTAATCCTGATCACGAGTGTAATTGTCACACTTGTGAGATCCTGGTGTGATGCAGTCCTTAAGCTCCACATGATATTGAGGGGGAAGAACCGACCTCTCCTCGTGATCCACTTGTATTTGGATCACCTCAATCAAGTCGGGGAAGTTGAATCCACGGTCGCCAAAGCGAACATAGACGGGGATCACCTCCAGCACTTGCGATGGCTTACGGGTGTTGAAGTATATCGCCACAAACACCGCCGCGTAGAAGCCAAACCATAGTATTCGATTCATCAGGGGTACTTCCGATTCGCACCCGCGACACTGCCTCAATACATACAGATATTGGCAATTATCAAAGCAGTTGAATTCATAAGGTTACTTATATATAATCTACTCACTCATACACTTGCATTTGAGGGATTGCAAAATGTTCCGACGACGGAGCAACGACTCCGCCAAAGCCGGCTTGATCTTATCTTTATTGTTTTCAAGCACCAGTGACACTCGGTTCAATTCACTCTTGAACGTTTTCCCGTTGTACTTGGCAGTGGCAAGCACCCGGTAGTATCTTGCCAGGAACGACATGTCACCTTTGGTTGCCTCCAACAATTCAGCCAACTTACCCTCGGACAACAAGTTAGACCATTCTTCAACGACCCCAGCCCCGTCCTTGAGTTCACCCAGAACATCACGGTGCAACCCAAACGCTTCGTTGACGGTGTCTACAAGCAGCCCCAACTCGCGCTTGCCGTTGTAAACACTGGCTCCCCAAGACCCCATAAATACCACCGAAGGAATCTTATCAATGGTGAACTTCTCCCGAAGCAAACGGATCCGGGGCAGTTCCATGTCCACTTTGCCGAATTGGACGGGTTCGTTGCGGTACACTTGTGTGAGTGAGTTCCACACGGGGTAGAACTGGTCACACAGCTTACACCACCCAGCGGAAAACAACACCACCAGGTTTTTACCTTCAACAAAGTCGTTAAACGTAAGATCATCAAGTTCAACCACTTCGTGAGCTTCGGCATCGTCGTCGGCACCCTTCACATCGATTTCAATAGAGTCATCCTCGGCCACCGGCGCCTGGGGCTCAACGTCGCCAAGACGAATACCCGAGAGTTGTTGGACAAAGTTACTCAACAGCTGAGCCACTCTATCGCCTTCAAATTCAATCGATTCCTTGTTGTTGGGACCAACGTACAACACGGTGGGGTAGCCGAGCTTAACGTACTTCTTCGCCCACCGTTTGCCGTCCTTGTCACCGTTCACTTTCGCAATCACCACATTGTCGTGTTCGGCAAACATATCGGCCACCTTGTCGATCTCTGGAGCAAGCTTCTTGCAGTGGCGACACCAGTCGGCGTAGAAGTCGACGAGGACATGGTCGGGGGAATTGAGCACCACTTCCTCGAAGTTCTTATCGTTGACCTCGACGACTCGCAGACCCAGGTAGCAGGCAACTAGGGCCACAAGCCACCATACAAACAACATGATCACGGGTGATGGTTGTTCAAGAACTTCACTCGCTTCAACACGTAGATTATGTCTTAGGACGCCGCACGCAGTCAAAAGTGCAGGGAACACCACCGACCCCAATGATTAGTAATTCATTGTAACTCCCTTGAAATATATAATGATTCGAGTATACTGATTAAATTATTCCTTGGAGAAGTCAATAATTTATATTTGAGTAGTTTAGTGTTTATGATCTATGATGAATTATACAATCTAACCTCTAGTACAGTGGTTACCACTCAACGGGCTTCGTCTTTTGCACCAAACGAGTGTAGTCGGCGAAAGTCTTACCTTGTTTGACACACTCCTCGTAAATGGGACCGACACTGTTGGGAGTCGCCCGCGCCAACCAAATGAGTTCCCCGTCAGTCTTACGGTAGATCAAGACGTTACACGCCCACTTGTGCTGACCGACGTGGTTGGTGAAGCCCACCATCACCCCGCCGGGAGTGGTGTCACCAACATCACGATAAACGCCGTCATCACGCAAGTGCATGTCAAACTCCTTTTTCATGTAGGGAGCCGACACCCCACAACGCTTGTCACGAGTACGGTGGGAGCACAAGAACACGTAGCAGTTCTGGTGGTCGACCTCCACCTTGACGCCAGACTTGTCTCCGAGTAAATCCTGGTATTCTTCAATTTTTTCACCCTTTTCCCGTTTCTCAAAAAGCTCGGGAACAATCTTATCCAACAGCGCCCCCACGTTTTCTGGGGTGACGTCTTTAAGCCACACAAAGAAGGGCATGATGAGCACCAGGCTTCTCTCAGCGGGGAACAGGGTGACGTTAACCTTGGGGTCGATAGTGAGAGGAGGGCATCCCTTCCATTCGTTCACGGCGTGCTCCACCAGGCCCTTGACTTCACAAGCATCATGAGGCCAGTCGTTCTTACCAGTAGACACAAGCAAGTGGATTTCGTACGGCTTCATCAGCTTCCAGAGCGAGGCGCCATCGTCATCGGCGCTAATCTTGAGCGATGACGGCAATGGGTGTTCGCAGGTGTCACACTTGAAGTCGCAGGTGGCTAAGGGGACGCCAAGCTGTTTGAGGTCTTCCTCCGGCAGCGCCTTGGACTTTAACACGTCGAGAAGTCCCATGGTGGAGATATATTTTCGTTAAGGGCGAGCCCTATATATCACGAAGCGTAGACAACTGCGCCGCGCCCCCACTGCATACCGGCCAATGGCGATTTCACTTTTCATAAGCGAACCACGTGGGCTAATTGAGGCTTTGTATAGCCTAACTATAGGTGGGGAAGCGTGGCGAGGGCTTGGCATTTTTACGAAAGTGATTGAGGGAAGCAATGGGCCGTGGTGCTGTTGGCAAATTTAATCTCCGCGTTGCCCAACGGAGATGATTGATGATCACAATGCAACGGCGTCTGATACAGGCAAATCTCGGAACCGGGCCGAGTCCGATTATCGGCCCGATCAGTGAACGTGACTTTTTATTATATTGAAAATTATTGAAAGGGTGACATTAGTGCTTACGGCTATGGACAATTTGGTCCTTAAGGGTCTCGTCCCATTGCGCACAGAGTTTGTCCAAGTAAGCGGCGACGTCCTCAGCGCCAGTGGCGTCAACGTCTTGGACCATTAAGTATTCTTTACCCCAACGGTCACACGCCAGCCCCACCTTTTGGTCTTGTGGCTGAGTTTCAGTGACACATTTGATAGGAGCGTTAGCAGCGATGTAGCCGCTGATATTGTGGATGGGCAGCCCCAACCACCGGGCAATGTAAAATAACATCATCATCCCGTAGTATGTGAACACATTAAGAAATTGGAAAAACAGGAACGACGTAAAGATCCCGGGCTGAACCAAGTACTGCGTGATCCCTTCTGCCTTAAGTCGCTTATAAGTCCCCATGTGCATCAAGTCGACGAGTCGTTTCAGCCCTTCGTAAGGGTCGGGTGATCGAAGGAGTTGTAAGTCTTCAAACGACAAGTACTTCGGGTTAGACATGACACTGGAAATCCACACCACTTTACCGTGGCCCGCTTTGAGTAACGGAGTGAGGCGGTGGATGAGATAGTAGGGACCAAACACGTTCGCCTGGAACATAAGCCCCAAACCATCAGCCAGCTTAACGCCAACCCTCTGTAACTTGTATGTAGGATGAGTGACCCCTTCGATGGGGTTGGTGCAGATTTGTTTCACCGCTCCGATCCAGTCGATCCCGTCGTACACGCCTTGGGCGGCATTGACGAAGAAATAGTTGATCTTCCGGTACCGTTTGGTAAGCTCGTAGTACGCCAGAAGGATCAGCACCATGTCGGTGAAATCGACCAACAAGTAGTCGAACTCCAAGTCCCCCTTACGCTGAGTGTTCTTAGCGTTGTAATCCTGAATATCCTTGATGACTTCCTTCACTTTAGGCAACGTTCTCAGGGTGACGACGATGGTGAGATTCTCCTCCAGAGGCACCAGTTCCAAAAGCCGGTAAGCCACGTTGATGCCAAGGTTGGACAGGGTCCCGGTGATCACCGCTACCAGAGCATCCTTAATGAGCGACATTGGTGGAGGAAATGTGGATGGATTTTGCAACAGTTATCGCTGCCTTCCTTCGTGCGCGCGTGTACGACGCGGTACGATCGTACCCAGACGAGAGCGAAGCGGGTGTGAAAAATTACAATTAACCCTCGGCGTACACACATGACTTCCAATAGCAGCTTTAAGTAATATGTCTCGAATTTAGAGTTGTAATGAAATGTGATGAATCTCGATCTACACCAAATATTCTCCATATTTTATTTAACTAGTTGTGCACACATTATAGATCAGGCGCGGCCATATCTCTACAGTCCAGGCTTAATGTCGCGAATAGTGTTGTCCAAGCAGCAACTAAATGATCTCGCACCAGGTACCAGGGTGAAGGTTGTTGGCTTTGTGACAGACTATGCCGCTGGAATTGTTCTGCTTCGGCTCCCAGATGATCAGCAGCCCTTCGATATTGACTTTCGTGACTGCCCCACCCAAATTAAGGAAAGGTTATATCCAGGGATGTCAGTGGCAGTTGATGGCTATTGCGAGAATGGTGACGGTACAGAGAATTACGTGAATCCCATTGAGGTAGTACCCGCCGGGCTTGACCATCTCGCAAAACTTGAAGATACCGTTAATGTCTTGCGACAAATGGCGCAAATCCGCAGCCAGTCGTCGATGTCTTGATCTGGTTGATGAATGTTGTCAACAGCCCTTATGATCACTACAACGTGCTTGTGTTGAACCTCGACTATGAGTGTATGATCTCGAGAAAGACATGCTAGACTCGATGGGCTAGTATGCTCCCTTTGAGACCTTTGAGACCACCAAATCCGTTGGGTTGATGCCGGTTCTAGTTCTCAATTGTTTGGACTACGTTGCCGGGTACCACAAAGACAAGATCATGTATCAAACAAGTGTGGGAGGACTCTTGGATATTCAAGGGAGACAATATTGCTGCCCCATATGCTTCAAACGCCAATATCGTCAAACTGTGATATATATATTTAAGATGAAATGATATGCTTGAAAATAACGAACTATCTGCCGCTGATGGCTTTAACCATCAAGTCCTTAACGCCAGGGATCCAATTGAGCGAGCGCATCCCCAACCCTCTCACCGCTACCAAAGGACCAAAGTCCAGCGAGAACACCTTGTGCAACTTGTCACAGATACCCAAGAGGGCGTGGTTCGCCGGCCACGCGTTCAGCATGTACGGTTCGAGGGCTAAGGTGCTCCCGATATCGAGACCTCTAGTAGTAGCGGCTTCAAGCGCTTCAATCAAAGCGGCAACGTCTGATTGACCCATGTTGAGCCCTTGGCCCGCCAACGGGTGAATGGTGTGAGCAGCATCACCGACAAGGGCCACGCGAGGAGCGACGTAACTGTCGGCGTGGGACATCTTGAGGGGGAACTTAGCCCGCGATTTAGGGACCACATCGACCACAGGTGCAGGGTATTCCACGTCTTGTTCGTTGATGCGACTGAGTCTCCAGTTGAGTTCTTTGACGGCTTCCTTGGACGAAGGGTCCTTCTCCAAGAGTTTGTAGACGTAGTTCAAGTCCACTTCCTCTAATCTCATCGCTGCCGTCACCAAAAGCGGGAAGATCTCCGGGTCACACTTGATGAGGATATTCAGAAGCTCAGGAGTCAGCGACCACACGATGGTGGCGTTATCCTCAGTAAGCGGCAAAATCGCCAACGGACCCGTGGTCAAGAATCTTTGCCACCCCACGGCACGCACATCCTCAAACTGCATCTTCACCGTCGCCACTACCCCCCACCGGTTGTACATCCACCCTCTCGACTGAATTTGGGCGTAGTGGCGAGCCGGCGAGTTATAGCCATCAGCACCAATAAGCAAACGGGTTTGGATTTCCAGACCATCGTCTAATTTAATAATGGGCCAGTCCAATTCCTCATTCCCGTGTTCAATCAGCTGGACCTTGGTATTATCGCGGATATGGAACTCGACGCCTTCCTCGGCCAATTGATCGAGGCGGTCCAACAACGACGCCTGGATGTTGATATTCTCGGCCATCACTGCCATGAAACCAGCATTGACCGTCAGCCCGTCGAACTCAATGCGTGTTTGAGAGTCTTGTCCGTCGTAAGCAATGATCTCATTATAGAACTTGATGCGGTCCTGGTTCATAAACTGCCACGAGCCCATCACCGAGTTCATAAACTCCACCAGCTTAGGCGTCAACGACACCACCCGGTTGGTATACTCCTCAGGGGGGCTGACGCTGAAGTTACGGATAGGTTCAAGCGAGCCTCCTTCGACAAGGGTAGTCTGTAAATGCTGGGTTTTCGGGGAACTATTAAGGGCAGTAAGGATCAGAAGCCCCGCGGGACCGCCGCCAATCACCACAACGTCCTGGAACGTCCGATTGGGCGTGGCGGCCGAAGCCAACCCTCGAAGCAATACCCGAAGCATGGTGCGAAAACCTCACCCCACGCACTATATACGCTAATCTTAACGGACTATGAGCCTGGAGATCTCGGACTGAAAAAAGCGTCACTGTTAACGAAGGCGATGTGAAATCTCTAAAAATCTCTACTCTTTTGAGCTACAATTTTTTAATGATTGATGGTTACTCGAGTATATTAAAATACTTAGTTAGCCTTCAAGGTCAAGTGACACTTACCGCAGTATTGTCTGTCCTTCATGTTGGCCATGAAGATACCGGCACCGCAGGTGGGGGCAGGACATTCTCTCTTGAGTCTTTCGACCTTGCCTTCACCGTCGACCTTGTAGTAGGTCAACACAGCCAACTTGTGCTTTCTGTGCTTGTGCTTGATCTTCTTGGGGGTGGTGTAGACCTTCTTCTTTCTCTTCTTACCACCACCTCTCAATCTGAGGACCAAGTGGAGGGTCGATTCCTTTTGGATGTTGTAGTCGGACAAGGTACGGCCGTCTTCCAACTGCTTACCAGCAAAGATCAATCTTTGTTGGTCAGGAGGAATACCTTCCTTGTCTTGGATCTTCGACTTCACGTTGTCGATGGTGTCCGAAGACTCCACCTCCAAGGTGATGGTCTTGCCGGTCAAGGTCTTGACGAAAATTTGCATGTCGGCAGTGGCAAGTGCTTCGTTCAGGCAAACTTGTTTTTTTCCACCGCCACCGAGGAGCTTTTGGCGATGCGGTGTGCACAGAAATCTACGCACGTGAGTGCGGTCAAATTCTTAGGGTTGTAACCCTATCACCTGAATTCCAACTGATACGTTACAATAGCATGGCCATGGGTAGCGTCACATGCAATTGCGTGGATTCAAGCCGCTTTTGATGGTATGATACAGTAGATCTCCGTGATTCACCTTTTCGTTGTGACAAATTATTCAGGGAGATTGCGGTCGCCTAAATTTAGTGTTCAAATTTAAGGTTCCAAGGTCACCCTTGAGTCGACTACCAATTAAATTAGCAGGCACCGGTTGTGTCGTACTACATTTAAATTGTCGTTGCCCTGAAAATTGCAAACAAAAAAAAAAGTAGTGACCGCATAAAACGACATGCTGTCTATCCCCACCCGTCTGCAGTTTTCAAGGTCGACTCGTACCTGCTGCTGCTCTACTTCTGCTAATGCTAATCATCTATATCTCTCATCCGGGCACGCATTGGAGGCCCAATCGAGGTTTATCTCCCGTCGATGAAAACTTGTATAGTTTTCACGGGTTTATCGGCGTCTGCTTCGTCCGGAGTCAGGCCTACTCATTTGCCCTCTAAACTAGCCCGGCGTGGTTCGCCAGCAGGGGATTGCATACGAGAAGCGTATTGCTTATTGTAATGCAACGCGGTTGGGTCGTCGAGGGTTGCCAGTGATCACATGCTGACGCCCTGGCCTCCCGCCCCTCCCAGATCGTGTACGGTTCGGGTTAGTGTCTGATCCCCTTGCCTCGAAAAGCCCTGATCCCCAAAAACCGTCGTGTGATCGGATCATATCCACCATCGCTGTCCCACTTTATCAAGTTGGCGAGGGATCACTCCACCCTCGGTTTTGTAATCCGTTTCATGTGGGGCACTCCCCTCACCACACCGCCTGGCCACTAGACCAGCAGCGATCTAAACACAGTAACTATCGTGGATGGGTATCGAGGGACACGAGGAGGCGGGGTCCCGACACCGGGGCGACAGCCAGGGCACGCTCCGTCCACCCGCTTTCTCCTACCAGCGGGCGAAGGACACTTTCCCCCATGTCGTTATCAAATAGAGTTTTTGCGAGGCCCCCCAACTTTAAAAAATTTCTCTAGGGAGGGCGAGTGTGGGGTGCAGGTCGCGACGGCACCTCCCCGCATGGCTTGGCGGGGCTACCCAGTGTTATTTTCGATAGGGACAGTCATATCCTGCGCCAGCGCTGGGTGCGAGCCCGGGGATCGGGGCCCGTCCCTATATACTGGATACGTTTAGGCGCCGGCGTCATCCCTCCC